CACAGCACAAGGCTCCTCTGGGGCTTCCCCAGGGTGGGTTGATGAGCTGCCTGCGAAGGGAGGTCCTGGGGAGCCCTCAGCGTGTTCCCCAGCACTTCCATCAGGCACCCTCCTTCTCTAGCCAGGAGAATCAGGAGAAGGGCAAACCTACAGGCCCGGAAATGCACTTTTTATGTCTGCTCATATTCGTGACAGATGGTGAGTCTTAACCAAGGCTACTGCACCTGAGCAGGGGATGGACGGGAGAAGACCGTGGGGATGCTGAGGGCTACGTGTCAGGAGAGGCCACATCTCCGGGCGAGGGCAGGTGTGCAGAACAAGGTCCCCAGAGGCAGCGCGCAATGGCTCTCTGAGGACAGAGGAGGCCCTCAATGAGGCTAAGGGAACAGACGATCCGCTCAGAATCACACGCCTGGGTCCAAATCCCAGCTCTGCCACACCGAGCTGCATCTGCAACCTCCTCTTCACCAGAGCCTTGATTCCCTTACGCTGGGCAGCAGGAGTAACGGCAGCAACTGGAACTGGACAGTCACAGCCAGGGAGCCAGGGAGGAAAATGCCTGCAAAGTAATAATCAGTACACAAAAATAACAGACCACACAGATCTGGGGATAGACACCAGGCAAGTAATGTCCCCGCCTCTTCCTGGAGCTCCAGACTCTATCCAGAGCTTGCCAGTGTCTCTCTGACCATGAGAAGATAAGCCCTGTGAAGGTGGCACCTCTGTCACAGGGCTTAGAACAGTCCAGACACACGGAAGATACTGAACAAAGGCCTGCATAAACGCTGTGTGAGCAGCGTCCGATAACTGAGTTTCTGTTCTCCATCCCCACTGCCGGGGAATGCCCCTGCTCCCCAGTCCTTCCTGAGAGGCTGATTCACGGTGACCCAGACCCAAGGGGAGCAAGCAGGGCACAGAAACTAAGTGCAGTCTGTGCGCTGCCCAGTGGACTTCTGACCCCTGCCCCAGCCTGCAGCCCCAAAGGAGCTGACGAACCACTCTCTTCACCTCGGTTCACATCCCGCACCCGAGTAAGGCCTGAGTTAGGAGGCCTGCTTTCTGGTCTTTCAGCTTGACACCGCATGGCACCAGCAATCTAGCGGCTCGACATCTGCCCGCCCTTCAGGGATATTTGTGAAGCTCTGTCCCCAGACACAGTGCTTCCAGACATCTTACAGGGTTTAAGACTGTCCTAGGCATTAGAGCATAAGACGAAAGTAACTAACCAGATACTCTGCATACTAAGAAAGAGAAAACTGATCAAGGCATAGGAGCAAAATCAGAAACAAAAACTCAAAAAACTAAAATTAAACAAAAAGTATGTTGCTATGAAAAGCATTTATTTTTTAAACTAGAAATTAAAAGTCTTTAAAAATCTAGAACATAAAGTTGATCAAGTCTCCTAGGGAAAGAAGACAGAATCGGGCAGAGTGAGAAAGGGTCTCTCTAAAGAGCCAAGCGCTACCTGTCGGCTGGGAACTCGGGGAGTGCGGAGGGGAGGTCGCTGGTGGAGCTGTGCACAGACAGCCCAGGCCTGAAAATTGAACCGTCAGAACCAGAGCCCGCCTGGCTCCCAGCACGAGGATCGAAAGCAGGCCTGTGAAAGCTTGGAACACCGGGGGTAAGGCAGCGAAAGCTTGGGGGAGGAAGGTGCCAAGAGGAAACCACACGCAGGCACACACGCCAGGACAGGGTCACCGCTCCATGGCGCAGACTGAGACACTGTGGCTCCAACCCCAGTCCACCTAAGCCTGTGACTTCACATGATGACAGGGCCTTTGGAAAGCAGCCATGGTTAGTGGATGCCAGCCCTATTCTAGCAAGTGGTGTCCTCTAAGGAAAAAGGACAGACACCCGGGATGTGTGCACAGACAGAGGGCCATGGGAGGGCACAGAGAGAGAGTGGCCACGTGCAGATGGAGGAACGGGCCATCTGGGGAGACCCAGACCTGCTGTCCCCTTGCTGTCTGCTCCAAAGGGGACGAAACGCCCTGCCATGGACAAGCCGAGCCCCGATTTGTGCTGTTACAGCAGCCCTAGGAAGCAGAGGTGCATGCTCAGCAGCCTGGCTGGGAAACACTTCCAGGATGCACAGGAGAGTAAGGCTCTCACAGGAGCTCTCACAGGACTACCACCCCATGCACTCCACATGGAACAGTGGCAGCTGGCCCCCCCAGGGAGACCCTGCAGTGCAGGTGGGGCCTGGGAAGCCACTGGAGGCATGCAGAATGGCAGTAGGAATGAAATAAGCCAGCAAGCAGACACACTTCATCCCCAAAATCAAAACCCAAAGCTAGAAAAGTATGAACTTCAGGAAAGAAAAGTTACATCACAAAGGAAACGCACTCTGTAATGGCTTAGCGTGGGGATGAGCTCTACAGATACAGTCATAATGTACTCTAACAACGAGGGTCCAACTGCAGTGAACCCAGACACGGAGGGTGTGCGGGGAGCAGAGAGGAATCCACCGGAAACACCCAGGATGCATGAACGAGTGCACGTCTGTTTAACAAAACTTAGAAATACAAAGGCAAAAATGAAAAGCAAGTGCTTTGGGGAGAACAACTGGACAATCCGATTTTTTGGCACAAAGAACTGTTCCTTTTTTAGGTTCTGTTTGATCTTTTAAAGCCATGGACAATTATTATTTGATTAAAATTATACTTAAAAGAAACACAAACTGGGCCTGGTTTCGAGCCCCGCCCGCTCCTGAGGCTCTGCTCTGCGGAGGTGGAGGCTCACGCTGCCTCCTTCCCAGCTGCCCGCGTCCTTCTCCCCACTGCTCCTAGGTCTGAAGCAGCGGTGTGAGGCCACCTCGGGACCCTGGCTAACCAGGAGGCTTTTACCCTTGGATTAGAGCCATCTGGAGAAGGAAGCTGAGCCAGACAAACTGCTGAGCACCAGCAAAAGGTCAGCGACCCCCAGGGAGGACCTCTCAGCTTTGTACAAGAACCAGTGAGTCAGAGCCCCTGTGTGAACAGCTCCCTAAAACCTGCTGCTCCGGGTTACTGTGCACGAGACACTGCTACTGGCCGTGAAGGTGGACCCCACGGGGCTCACAGCCCGAGACCGGCTGCCCAGCGTTTCACTCAGCGCTCTCACTCACGGGGGGCTTTCGGCCTGTCCGTGTGTATCAGAACGCGAGCAGAAGCAGCCACCAAAGCAGTCTGCCCCTGCACCTCCGCTGCACTCCACTCATTTGTTCATTCAGATCCGCGCCGTGGCCAACTCCCTTCCCCAAACCTCAGGAAGAACACACAGATCTGGACTCTGGCCTTGAGTGGACAGACCAAGACACAGCCGATCAGCACTGACACACAGGCTGGCTCCAACTCTGCACAACACGGGATACGGCCCAGACTTAAGGACCTGGGGGGCTTGCAGCCCACAGACTGATGCGAGCAGAGCTCTCCTCTTCAGGCGCGCTTCTCCTGCACCTGCGGCGTTTTCTAAGACCCAAGCATGGGGACAGGTGAAGGAGAGACAGAAGGAGACAAGGCACCCGTTACCCCAGGACTCTGCAGTACTTCTCAGAAACGTCACCAACAAGAGGAAAGGCTGGCGGGCAGAGTCTGCCATCACCAGCAAGAAGCAGAAAACAACAATCCAGGCACCAGGAGCATCTCAAAGACCTGTGTGAATTAGAGGTGTCGAATTTACATTAACAGAGGGAACAAACTCTTCCCTAAAAATATGGATAGGCCAAAACAGTCTGGTTCTGCCAGCTGGACTAAAAATGTTATTGATGCAACAGTATCAGAGCCCAAAACAGTTTCATTGGCAGAATGACAGCTCAATGTGGATTTGACCAAATGCAATGCCTGATGCACTGGTTTGACAAATTAAGCTAAAATCCACAAGTACATGATGTGCACTTATCTCTACTGCATTAAAAACAAAGAAATTTCCTGCTCATTTATAATTTAACAGCTGTGGTAAGAGTTAAGCTTAAGGAGAAGAGATGCACCTCAAACACAGGTCGAAAGGCCTCAGCAATGTCCAGAGTGCTGATGAGGGGCCAGGCCTGATGCCAGCTGCTCCGCACACAGGTGGCCGACGCATTAGTTAAGAGCTCAAACTCCAGAGCCAGCTGCGTGGGCTTAAAATTCAATTCTGCCACAAATTGTGCAGCCCGAGTGCTACTTACCTCCATGCTTTGTGTCCTTGCTGTAAGCGGGGGATAAAATCAGGGCCCTGTGGGATGCACTCAGCCCACGAGAATGCCAAGGACACTGCACGCCCACCGCAGTGCCACAAGAGCCATGCAGATGACCTCATTCTTAGAGCTAAGGGGCAGGCAAAAGTCAAGCCAGGAGTCGAGCCTCAGGACAAGCTCTGTGCTCCTGAATGCTTCGAACCGTGGTCAAATGAGATCCTACATAGTCAAGTTCACCATGAGGGGTCGCAAGTCGAGCTTCTTAAAGATAAACACCAGCACTGAACAGGAATGGGTGACAACCATTCAGTAACGATCACCATGGAGAGGCCCTCGGGGGCTCGGAGGCCGACAGTGGTCACCACGTGGTGGACTGCTCCGGGTTGCAGGACTCCAGGAGCAGCTCAGCAGCCAGATGACGGACAGCGCACCCACTGACCACAGCCACGCAGGCCCTGAACCCATGTGCTAAAGGAGGGACTGGTAATGCCCGTGTCTCTTAGAGTGACCTCTTAAGATACCTGACCCAGCAGAATGTACTACAGTTTGAAAAAGGTTAGTGTCACTATCAGTGAACAGACACACACTGCGGCAGGAACCCTGAGATGTATCTGCAGCCACAGCTTTGGGCAGGGGTAAAAGGCCAGCAGCTCAGAGAGCTACCGTATCTGTATAAGTGGTGTTAGAGTATAAGACGGGCTGACCTGAGAAAAACAGCAATAATAATTCTGATAACAATGTAATAATTTCAAACACACAGGTTTGTAACAGGAGGAAGCTGCGCAATACATCTCACGTGTGGTTAATCCTTCAGCACCTTGAGTGTCTACGCAAGTGGATTTACCTTTCTGCCCGTGACGACTGCTGAATTTGTCCCCGATCTCTGGGCGCCTGGTCTGTCGCAGTAGCATTTTGATGAGGAAGGCGTCCTCGGCATTGGAGGAGATCATCACCTTCTCAATGTATGAGTCTGTTGCCCCTTTGTAACTGGCAGGGAGAGAAAGTCACTAGAATCCTAAGTTTGCCACACACACATCTGACAGATCCTGTCATAAAACATCTTGGCATTCTCTTTTTGAGCTCTGAAAAATGGTGTGCAGTGAGTTCACTGCTACAATTTCTCTTCCACAGTCCTGCACCTTACCTAGAGGCAGGCACAACACAAAGTCATCCTCACGACAACCCTGGACTGGGACTCCCGTGCCACAGGTGAGGCACAATGACCAGCCAGGGACATGCCTCATACAGTGGAGCTGGAGTCTCTCAGAGCCAGCACCAAACAGTGAAGGCGTGGACAGCACCCAGCTTTCCACAGCCAGCCTGTGGTCTTCTGAGAGCTGGGCCTCGTGGGCTCTGCACACAGATGCAGAGCACTGAGCAGGCCCAGCTCAGGCTGCATGCATGCTCATCCTCCCCGAAAGGGAGGGCATGAGGTCACAGTGGCAGGGTGTTAGGCTGGAGGAGGCCAAGGGCTGGCTGTGTGCACCCCGGGGTACCTGCCCGCAGCCCACCCGGTCAAGGTGTTACTACCCTGGGACCCAGAGAGAAGCAGTTAATAGCCCAGTGGCCACAGCAGCAGCAGCAGCAGCAGGAGGGGGAGGCGGCCAGTCCCTGCTGCCAGCAAGCACCATGAGGGACCCAGGAAAAGAACCTGGCTGGAGGTGGGCAGGGCAAGAAGCACGATGGCTCTGAACATACCCCCCAGCACCACTGTGCAGCAGACATGGGCGGATGCCCCTGGAGTCGTCAGTGACAGGTAGGAGGGCATTCTGTGAGCACATCCACACCCACAGTGCAAGCCAGCAGCTGGAACAGGGGCAGCCCAGGCCAGACAGAGGCGGGTGGAGGAGCAGCCAGGGGCCTGCCAGGAGGCGGTGCCTCCAGCCACACGAAGGTCCCATGCGGGCACCAGGGACAGAGGAGCCCACTGAGTGTAGTGATGTGGCCACCACGGGCCTTGCTTCCTCTTGAGTGTCTGCTGTCCCCAGCCTTGAGGGACAGGGACTGCTGCGGCTGTGCCTACATTGCCCAGATTCCCTGAGTGACACAAACAAGCAGGCTGTCTCTTGTGGCAACCTCTTGCTCTCCTACTTCAAGGAGGCGGGGCAGTACAGAGGGACAAGAGCAGAAGGTGGAGGAGGAAGAGGAGGAATGAAGGTGCCTCGTCCAGGAGCCGTGCGGGCAGGGATGGGAACAGAACGGCAGCCAGAAAAGAGCCCTCGGCTGGGAAAGCTCTCCCGTGCTGCTGGTTAGGCAGCGCTGAAGCACATTTCTGAGCCCATGTGTGGGCAGGGCCAGTCAGTGGGCAAAAAGCTGGAAATGGGGGCAAAATAATGGAACAACACAACAGAGCAAGTTCTCCAAAGACAGCGGAGACAGGAAGGACCAGGGGCAGGGCAGAAGGGAGTGCCCGGCAGCACCACAGCAATGCCGAGCTTGTGCCCTGGGGCTCGGGGTCAGGTCTGACTCTCCCGGGTGCAGCTGCCCACAGACAGGGCCACGGGGCCCTGACTCTGCACAGTGCTGCAGACAGCATGGACCAAGGCCCGCCTCTGCCACTGGAGGCTGCACGACCTTGGGAAATGACCTCACCTCTCCTCATCCCCGCTCTCTCATCTTCTCCGCACCTTTTTTGTTTTGGTTTCGTTTTGGTACCAAGGATCGAACTCATGACCTTGTGCTTGCCAAGCAGGCACTTATGGCGCTGAGCTAAACCCCCAGCCCTTCTTCCTCATCTTCTTAATGAGCAGCTAAGAGCTAGTTAAGCTCTGGGGCAGCAGTGGGCAGGACTCCCCAGCAAGCCTTTGGACCTCTGCAGTTGCTGCCTCTGCGGCTTCCATCCGCCCCACTGCCCACTGCCCAGGCGGCTCACCTTTGGGTGCTGGGCGGTTTCTAAACTGCCCCTCCAGGGCCTGACTAACCCAGCCCGCCTACTGCTGCCGGTGGCTTCCACGGCGCAGGGGTAACCTGCTGGCTCATCTCCCCGAGTTTCCTACTCTACAGCACTTCAAGGCTGAGAGGAAGTTGTGGGGGGGGACACCCCGGCTCCCTCACTGCACAGACGAGAACACAGGGTCACAGGAGGTGATGCACACCGCCAGTCTTCAACCAGTGAGGTCGCACTGTGGCTGGTGCGTCTTAATTTCTGAGGCTTGAGTCTGGCCACCTCACCCTGCAGAATGAATTCCCGGCCCTCCACATCCCAGCGGCAGCAGGCAGCAGCAGGCATCCTCCACACCCAGCACCGAGGCCCGTGCCCTTCCTCCCATGGCCCCGTCCACCACGAGAGCTGGGACTCACAGCCCGGCTTGGTTCCCACCGGGCTATGTGCCTGACAGTGACAGTGCCCATGCGGCCATTCCTCAGCCTGCAGGCCTCGGCACCCTGGCCCGCCCCTGCGTGTCTCCCCGGGCACACCCATACCTACGTGATGGGCACGTCTTTGTACTGCGGCTGCTGGGCCGCCCCGCTCCCTTCCAGCGGAATCTGAGTCACGGTGGGCATGGACTTGTTCACAAGCACTTGTTTGTTGGCTACTTTCTCACCTGCGGAAGGAAAGCCCTCAGGTCATCATCTAGGGAACGCCGCCCGCCTGCCGGGGACACACTGTGCCCTCAGGCTTTGTCCACAGACCCGAGACACAGGAGGAAGGTCGGGGTCCGCAGGGCGGGAACCACAACTCAGCAGGCTCATGTGTGACTTCACAAGCCATGTACGAGAAATGACAGGGGGCTGGGGTTGAGCTCAGCGGCACAAGCAAGTGTGAGGTCACGAGTTAGATGCCCGGTACCAAAACAAAATAAAACAAAACACCCAACAACAAATAAAGGGTCTAATAACACACAAAATACCTTTAAAAAAAAAAAAAGAAAGAAAGAAAAATGACCGATTAGAAGTGTGTGACGGGAGTAACAGCAGGAAGCTGACTTGGGGACATTACCAGAAGGGGGCCTCAGCCCCACTCAGCAGCCACTCAGATGTGGCTGGGGTGTCAGAGCAGGGCTGACCATGTCCGTCTACAAATAATCCAAGAAACAGGTCACCACTGCCTAACTCGGAAGTCAAAACGCTCGCTGGTTTTACTGCTACTGCCACGCTTGCTTCAGGCTCCGCCCAAGATGGGCTCTGCCAGGGCTGAGCGGTGCCCACTCCCAGCCACACTGACGGGCGCTGAGAGAGCAGTTCTCCGAGAGGCAACGGCTGGGGTGACGGCGATGCAGCGTCCTGGTGCCAGGCAGGAGCTGATGGTGCAGGGTCTGCCAGGGTTGCCCAGCTGGGCTCTCCTCACCCTCCTGGTCCTTGCATCCGGCTGCTGTCCAGTGACCCCATCACTGCGCTGGCCTGGCCTCGGCTCGCCCCCCTGTTCACTGCACTACTCTGTGCTCCTCACAAGTGCTCCAGCTGTGGAGCTCGGACACCTGGCCCAGCTGGCCCTCTGCAAGAGCAGGGCCTGCCCACCGCAGCAGCAGCAGCAGCCAACGCTCTATCCCTCAGCCTCCTGCGGGCCGCACTGAGCTCCTAACCAGACAAACCTCCCGCCGTGAACCGTGAACCGGCCTCCTCGCTACCTGCGAGCGCTGGCCGGAGGCTGTAACTGTTCATGTATCCTGCGATCCTGGTCAGTGTCAGCCTCCCACAGCAGCCTGTAGGACCTGCAGGGCAGGATCGGGGGCTGCCCCAAGAAATTCATCAGTTTGGGAACTAACAGAGCCACACGTGTTGGCGAAGAGGATCCCAAAGTTGTCTGCAAGGAACATGCTGCTAAGTCAATCCCAGGAGAGATGCAGGGACAAGATGCCATCACCTCCTTCCCTTTAGGTGGCTTCTCTGATACTCAAAATTATAACTAGAAAACTGTAATTACAGAAGATTACTGCTACATAAAATCATAATGTGCAGAAAACCAGACTGGAAAGAAATCTGTCGAAAATGACCATACTGCTTGAGTCTAAATAGTGTTATAGGTGATTTTTTTTATGCCCTGTTTACCAAATACACAGAAATGTTGTTCAAAAAACATGCTAAATGTCAAAAAGTATGCATTGAAAGTCATTCTTTAAAGCTTTTACCTGGAGAACAAATACCATCTGCATCTAAAATTTCATGTCGCCAGATGGGCTTCCTGGTAGCGGCATCCAGCATGGGCCCCATCACTTTGTCAAAAGTCTGGTTGGTGTAGCGCTTCAACGTACACTTAGCATTCTTATACACGAGGCACCGCCCGAAGCCTACAATGAAACCAAAACAGGTCAGGAGCACCAGAAACACAAAGCCACCAGAACACAGGGATCGGAGCTGTGCGGTAATCCACCCACCTCGGCCTTGTGAAGAAACCAAACTACTATACACTGGATCATCTGATTGGCACGAAACTACCTGAAGACCCGCGTCAGTGCTCAGGACTCCTCCCTGCCTGCTGCCCACAGCACGCCAGTCTCACGCTCTCAGCACGGCACTGCAGGACACGCTGGAGGAAGGGGAGAGGCCTACGAGGGGCGTGGGAGGGCCTCACAGGCCAGCGGGGACCCCTCTCTTTACAAGCACTACGAGTGAAGCCAGAGAAAGTGAGCAGGCACCCCGCCCAGGAGGCGGGCAGCACGGCGGCCGGACGCTGCATGGTGTCCCGTCGGTGAGTAACTGCCGTTTACTCCCTAGAGAGCTCTTTCTGTCATGGTGACATTTATGAGTGGCCCACAAAAGCATGAAGCAGAGAAACAAGCAGACGAACAGACAAGACCATCATCTCTCCCCTGAGAAGAGAATGAGAGAGAGCACAGCTAGGTGACTTCAGCGGGAAGGGAGACACACCACATCTGCCCTCAAGATTACTGCAGTACATTTCTGGCTTGGATTCAGATGGTGGACGAGGGAAAACCCTGAGAGGCATTCACACATCCAAGATGGGGCCATAATGCGTATGTCCAGCTGCCGGGCGGCTCGGAACCATTGGTGCTAAGTGTGTGGCTGTGTCCTCGGCAGCAGGGGGACGGTCACGCGTGTTCTGCTACTGGGTCAGGCAGGTGGGAACATGTAGAAACACAAGCAAGGTGGACAGAAGAAACCTTCTGGGACAGCGGACTCAAGCACCGAATTTCCCACAAAACAAACACATCAGTGGCAGAGCCGCCCGGAGAGCTGTGGTGCCTTCAACACCAACGGCCCTTCCAGGGCTCTGGGGCTGCGCCTCCTCCGTGGCTCCTGTCCCCGCCAGACATGCTGAGCAGTCAGGAAAGCGCCTCGGGGTGCGGCCCGCTATCCGGAGCCGGCCCCGCATGTGGCTGGGAGACCCTTCTCCCAGGGCCTCCACCTGCCGTGGACCTTCCAGGAAACCCGAAATACGAGTTTAGAAAATCAGTGAGGCACAAATGAACATCTAAATAAATCCTGTGTCCTCATGGCAATTTTTACATTTTAAAACATTTTTTGTGGAAGAAATGGATTCCTGCAACTGGCCAGGGGTGAAGACATCCGCAGGCCTTTGAGCCTGTCCCGGTCAGTCACTGTGGCCCCCTGTGGACAGGGCAGGGCTGTCATGGACCTGCTGAGGGAGCTGAGAGCTTGGGAACATTGCGGGACCTGGAAATGTCACACAGCAGCCACTCACAGCACACCAGGGCACAGTGTGGACCTGAACTACACAAACCCTGGAAGTGTTTTCTGCTAAGTCTACACGCGGTTATTCACAGGTGGAGGCTTAAAAGCCAGGGACAGTAAACACAGACTGGACGACGGTGTCCCCGAGTTTCTCACAGACATTACCCAGTCTTCCGATTTCCACATAACGTTACCAGTTAATCAGAAAGGATTAAAGCTTTAAAGCATGGCTGCTGTCTTTTGGAGGAAAAGAAGAGGCATAAATTAAGTGCAGCCAACACTAATGGCAATGACACATGGCTAGGAGTGCGGTTATGGGTGCCTAGCAACTGGCGAGGGGAAGGGAAGGCAGAGTGGGCATGCGCCAGAGGACAGAGGGACACAGTGTGTCGGGGAGGTCGGTCAGCCCGGGTGGGGAGACCGACGTGGGCTGTGGAGGCTGCAGAAGCAAACAGGAAGTGGAGGCCAAGGGCGCAAGAAGCCCGAGCTAGCGTCTGTCTGTGTCTGTGTGTAGGGCTTATCATTCCATTGAAAAGGCCAGGTACGCCGGGTATGGCACCAAGATGCACGGCAAGTGAGCAGCTTTCCCAGCTGACTGCTGCTACTGCCTTCTCAGGCCGCTCTGCTGCTGGACAAGCTACTGGGCACAGTTTACAAACATTTTATACCCTGCAATTCCTATGGGAAATAAACGAATTCTAATGTGTTCTTCTGTTTGAAAGATCCTATAGGGCCCACTCACCACATTATCTCAATATAACATTAAAAACAAGCAAGCAACCAAAGCCAATACCTAAATGTAACTGTCCCCGTGTACGTGAGATTCGCCTGGGACTGCATGTTCTGACACCAGGCGGTTCTGACAGGAATCGCTCTGCTACCTAATTCTGCAAGAAGCACTTCTGGGGTCAGTCGGACCTCGGTCACCCTATTACCTCTGTCCAAGGAGGCCTTGTTTAGGACGAGCGCGTCCTCGATGTCGTAGCCACTGTAGCTCATCACAGCAACGGTCGCGTTCTGCCCTGCTGGCAACTTCTCGAAGTCTATCAGCTCTATGGTTTTCGTTTTAACCATGGGTTTTTGTGGATACGCAAGCAGGTACATAAGAGTATCGATTCTGTTTCGCTGGTTGTATCCAATGGTACCTTCATTGATATTGGGGAAAACAAAACTCAGCATTCTATTATCTGAAACAATCATGTAGCACTTAATACAGTAAACACAATTTCTCCAATAATTCAAATAAAAAAAATCTCCAGGCCATGCATTGTGAAAGCAAGCCCTGCATGGTGGCCAGTAACTTTTACAGTATTTTTCAATAGCTCGTAAAATTATTCTTAGGTATACTCATCTAAGTAATTTCAAGGTTTTGGATTTACAGACTCGATCCTGCTCGAGGATTCTGGCACTCACTGGGGCCTCCTAAGTCCACAGCCCATGGACTGCCCTCCAGGGCCATTTCTGGCCACCAGGGAAAAAGGGGTGGGGCTCTTCAGTCACCCAGGAACTTAGGCATGGACACAGAGGCACAGTTCATAAAGAGTCAGCAACTGCAAACGTTGTAAGTGAAAAAGCAAGAGAGAAGGTGGGAACAGTACGAAGCAGCACACAATCGGGTAAAGGGAGAGAAGTTTATTCACTTACTGAGCAGTCTCTGGGATTAAACTTGATGCAGTACCAAACGTAAGATACAGAGGGAGACTGAAGGTCCCTTCCCCTAAGGGAGCGACAGCAAACCTTTGAGAACTTTCAGTGATATAAACAGCTGGCTGCCGCACAAGGGCTGATGGTTTAGGGATTCTGTGAAGAGCCTGATGGGGATGGCTGTCCTTCCCACCTGACTGGTCCTTGGAAGGTGATCCTGGGGGGACCGTCCACTGGGAGTCATGATGTGATGATGTCAACCCTCTCCTGTCCTCTCAGAGAACACAGGGAGCCAAGGCTCACCATAACAAAGGTCCCCAGTCTCTGGGGCACACAGCTGGACACACAGCTGATGCTTCACAGAGACCTGAGACCGGGGCACTCAGGCCGGCCCTGCAGCTGAGGCTGTGCAGCAGCCCCTGACCTCCTCCTACGTGTTTCTTCCCTCCTAGGCTGGATGAGAAGAGAGGAGTCGGCATGAGAACTAGTGGAGAGCTGAGTCCCTCTCTTGCAGATGTCCCTTAGTGATACCCACACGCAACCCAGCGGAGGTCCGCCTAGGGGAGCAGACACCAACACTGCAGACTTACTTTCTTTAACTTGGTCACCATCCTATCATTAAGTCAAAGGTGCTTTCAACTCAGGAATGGAAATGAGCTTCAATCAGCAAAAGTGACAGGGTATTCTGACAGTCGCTGCTGAAGGGAGCATGGAGCTGCACCCTGTGCCAGGGAAACTCACCCAGCACAGCACAGAGCGTGGAGACCCTCACTCACCAGTAACTGAATCACAGGGCAGAGGGCCATCAGGCCTTCCATGGACACGTATGAGGCATGATCAACACACAGGACCGCTCACTGGGAAACCGTAGCACAGCAGAGCACGGTACCACGGCCGCCCGAGAACCCGGCCCACCCCATCAGCCCTGGTCCCGCCCTCGGCAGCAGCTCTGGAGCCCCTTTCCCAAGGGTCTTTAGCTGCACTGCCCCAGCTTTCCTCGGTGTCCTGAATGGATGGGATCCTCTCCCTTTCACGGTCACTTTGACCTTGAAGCAGAGCCGAAGTCACACCAGACCTTGGGCGAGCAGGGGACGAGGACACAGTCATGTTTTCAGACCCCACTTTTCCATGGCACGGTGCTGGCAGGAACCACAGCCACCGAAGTTCTGATCAGAGCTTCAACAGAGGCTCAAGGCCATGGGCTTCCAGAGCTTCTCAGAAAACTGCACGAAGGATAGCAGGATAGCGCGAGTGTGTCTGACGCGAAGGAGGGAGAGTCACAGTGACGTGTCTTTTTGGTAGTAAATTTAAGGATTTAAATATTTACCGTGTATTTTAATCACCTTCCTATTAGGATGGGAAGATGAGGCTGCGTAGCTCCTGTATTTTGATGACATCCATATCCACCTCTCTCCACAGGTGAGTACCCCTGAAACTGACATTCACCTTAGCAACTGTCTGCACCACCACGAGAAACTGGAATGCACTGGATATTCTGGCCACTCCTGTGCGCTTAAATCTCTAGAAAAACTATCAGAACTCCTGTGAAGAGCAAGAGTCCAACTGAAACTGAACTGCATGAACTTTTTGTCAAGTTACACCATGCGGTACTTATTAATTACCTTAGTGCCAGCTAATAAAGTAGGCAGGGCACCTGGCAATGGATCCCTTGCTGTTTCAGAAATCGGATTTCTGCTGTCAGATCATAGTAAGTCTGTCCTTTTCCATGAGGTCAGTTAAAGAGCATGCTGCGCGCTCAGCTGCCACCGTGTACTTTATGCAGCTTGAGAGGAGGCTCCGGGCCGCTGGCTATGTCTGCTGCAGCTGGAAGCTTTGTCCCATGGTAACCATGCCAGGCCCGGGTCCTCAGGCACCACGGCCACCACTTGATGGAGCAGCAGCAAAACCTTTCTGCATAGGTTTGGCGCTTGTGGTCGCAGCAGAAATCCCCACCAAAGTCTTTTTACAGAATCCCTCTGGACGCACGTACGCACACACATTCACAGCAGCGCCCTGAACGTGTGGAACGAATCGTAACTAATAAAGTATGATTTCCACATCACAGAGCGTCAACATGCCACCAGATCCCTATAACGTCCATAAAAATTATGAATGGCTGACTAGTTACTTGCCAATAGGCAAATGTTTTTGAGAAAATTGCCCTAAAGAACCTTATCAGGCTTGTCCGCATAAAGCACAGGCTCAAACCAGGATGCCTACTACGATCTTCAGTTTCTTTAAAACGGCTGCGGAGGCGCGGGAGAGAAAGCCGTGAGCCTCGTTCTCCCCGTGCCCCACCCCCTCTAACTGCGACCTCCAATGTCTTCTCTCCCTACCGGCCAGGGCACCAAAAGCGGCATCCTGCTGGCAGTTAGGGCTGGGTTAGGGTGTGACGTGCTTTTATGGAGGGTGGCATGGAAAGGTAGGGTGCAGACAACCCAGGCACACACACACTGGACACGCGAGGTCTGGTTCACTTAGCGATGTCTCCTTACTTCGCCCCAAATCTTAACTGTTACCAAGTGCAATAAACTTCACCTGTTTACAGGGTCCAGTATGATGAGCGCTGACAGATCTGGAAAACTCTGAGGATGCCGCCACCTGGCCTGTGTCCTCACTCCTCCAGGGTGGTGTTTCAGGCGGCCTGGCTCTCAGGAACCTGCTCGAGTCTCCCCGGGTGCCCTGCCAACCGCTGCCCAGTCCTCCCGGGCATGGCCCACTGCTGCTCCCCATCATGCGTTCAAACGCGCAGCAGCCCTCGCTCTGTGACGCGCGTTCACCAAGCTGCACACACTTCTGGGCTCTGGTTCCTCAGGAGTGCCTGCTCTTGAGTTCTTTTTACTCTCTGTTCCCTGTGCGCACCCCGCGCACCCCGTGCACCCCACGCACCCTTACCGAAATGCTACCGCACAGGCCCTCTCCATTCTGTGGCCCACATTTTCCTATTGCAATCTTTCAAAGAAAAGAAGACTAATTCTCAGAAATACAATGTATCGTTTTTCTTCTTAGTTTGTGTCTTTGTGTCCCTAGAAACCTTAGCTCAGCTTCTCCTGAAGATTTACGCTGCTGCTGTTTCCTTCTTCGCAGATGGTCTCACTCTCACACTTCAGGCTGTCATACTCCTGTATTAACCTTTATCAAGCAGGAACTGATGCTCATTTCTGTCCCGTGTGGATACGCAGGATTTTGCTGACTTTCTATTCCCCAGTGGAAAGCTCTGACACTCTCTTTGCTTGCTTGTTTTTTGTCTTTCTGAGACAGGGTCTCACTACACAGTTCAGGCTGAGCTTGAGCTCACTTTGCAGCCCAGGCTGGTCTCAAACTCATGCTGGTCCTCCTGTCTCAACCTCCCAAGTGCTGGGATTACAGGTGGGCACCGTCACGCCCAACTAAATTTTGACACTACTAATGAAAAATCAGCTGTCCATAAACACGTGGGTCCCTTTGTGAGGTCGTACTTCTGCCCCCTTCCGTGGATGGCCACCCTTTCTGCAGTGTCACACTGTCTTTATTGCTGCAGTTTTATAGTAAGCCAAAGTAAGTTGCATAATTCCTCTTAGTTTCAAAATTCTTTTAGAAAATCTGCTCCCGGTTTAACAATTTTAACAGGCTTAAGAGACTCACTACTTGCGGTGAAGCGTTTGTTAAGCACCTACCACCCCACCCACTACACTGGCGCTGGGCTAGGTACACAGACACAGTCACGAGACAGACTGTCCTCAAGGGACTTACGACCCACGGCCTGGGCGAGGGCAGCTTGGCGGCTCCAGAAGGTTAGGGAAAGGTTGGCAGGGAAAGGAGCTTCAGCTGAGAAGAATTTTCAGTACATTTTGCTGCATAGCGGCACACCACGACCCTTTACAAGTTATTCACCCACAGTGAGACTCAGCGCCCTTCTGCGGAAAGGCAGGCATCACACCTCTCAGGACTATCACTGGGATTAAGAGCAGACCTGCACGCCAGAGTCTGCATCCCGGGGTGGAGTGGGTGGGGCGAAGCTCAGTGGTGGAGACAAGCGTAGGGTGGGCAGTGCCCTGGGCTCAATCCTTAGCACCACGTAAACAAAAATGGATGCTCCAGCCCAAATTTCACTGTGAGCAGTAGTACCCTGACTGGGTGCTTAGCGACAACAGAAGCACTCAGCTCAGCACCCAGCACCACTCACTCTACTCCCGTCCAGCTACACAGTCAGCCTCATGTAGCACTCCCCAAGGGTCAATGCTGACCTTCTGGTCTTAGGGACACCACATAACCCTGGAGCCAAACCAGCTACAATGCGCCGGGCACTGTGGTGCACCCCTGTAAGCCCAGCATCAGGAGGCCCGGGCAGCGACACTGCCCAGAGTTTGAGGCCAGCCTAAACTATAAGACGACACTTTGTCTCAAGGGAAAAACAGGTATGGTAATTTAAAAACATTTTTTAAACAACAGCCGAGTTCTAAGAAAGAACTGGCAGGGGTAGTTGGAGTGAGGGGTCTTTTCCCCTCATCATCATGCTCTTGAACAAAGAGCAACCAGGCCGAAACCAAACAAAAACTCTTCAACCAAGCGGGAGTGAGGTGCAGAATGAAAACAAATTCATGAAGATCTTTGTATATGTTCTGAATATCGCAGAAATGTCGGCCTATTTCCAGTGAATCCCATCCTATTTTCATATGGGGAACATGGGGAAAAACAAACTATCTGTGTCCGGACAGAATCTACTGCACACAACCACACAGGTCACATGAACTCCTGGAAAAAGCCAGCCGACCAACCAGGAAGGCGAGCCAGCTCCTGAACAGGTGGAACCACCTGAGTGCTGCCACTAACCGCATGGTGCACAACGGGAGTGACCACCCTCTGTCCACGTGGCTCACAGCGCTGCACAACCTGGGGATCCTGTGTGTCAAATGTCCACAGGGCTCCTGTGGTGAGCCCCTCACAGCCCAGAGCCTCATCCCAGGAGAGAGGGGCTCCTCAGCCTCCCGGAGATGCTGTGTGGAAACTGAACCTCACGGATGGACAAGCCCCGAGCCCTGAGGCCGAGGAAAGGCCTCTGCGGGCTCCAGGGTGGACTGGCTCCACCCCGGGCCCAGGAAAGACTACGTCTGTGCCTCAGCTGCTCTTGGTGAGCCTTTCCTTGCGGCCCTGCAAGACAACTTACTTCTTTTCTGGGTGGGCAACGAAGCTGCCACCCAGAGGTGGGGGCTGGGACACCGCGCTCTCCCGGGCTGGCTGGAAGACATGGGGAGTCGGCTGTAGGATCACCTCTCTACCTGAGCCCAGGACGCACACAGCAGTGAAAAGCCACTGGAGAGCACTGCAGGACGCCAGGCCACACGAAGGCTCCAGGACAGCACGGCTTAGCTGCTGCTGCAGGGACCACAGAGCCAGCTCTGCGTCCAGCCCTGGGCTCAGCTTTTCCTTCTGTGATTTTCAGACGGACCTGGCTCCGTCCTTCTGCAGCTATTTCAGTGTCCAGAGAGAAACGTGGTCATGCCAGGTGCCAGATTCAAATGTACTTTTATCTCCAGTCAGGTGTTTTATAATACAAACAGGAACAAAGGCTTTGTTTTTTATTACTTAAAGATATTCACAGTGCCTTTGTCTGCCCGGCGTCAGCAGTAACGTCAGAGGATTGTATCCAAGGAGCTAAATGTGCGGGACCCAGGGTCAGAGCAGCTGAATACACCAACCTCAGAAAACACAGACAATGAATTGCAAATGACACTCAAAACAAAACGCGAAAAAAAACCTTCACACAGGAAACTACAAAAGAACTCTACAGACACTGAATTGGCTTTCTGTACGCCCTGATCTGCTTAACTGTGTGTGGTAACTAACCCAACGTGCGGATGTCCAGGCTGCAAAGTAAAGGTGGCCTTTTTTTTGGTGGGGAGGGGTGTCACAAAATAAAAATACTATTTCTTTCCTTCCAGCCTACTCTTTATTTACTTATTTTTAAAAGCTTCTCTTCACGGGGAGGGTGGGGGGTGTGGGGAGTGGGGGTGGAGCTCAGTGCCTGTCTCAAGCTTCAGACCCAGGGAGGGCGCCTGGCAGCGCGGAGGGCTGTGCCTTTCCTCTGTCAGCGCTGCCCAAGGCCCCATACAAAAGCCGCACTGTTTCTCCGGGACTCGCATCCAGGGACAAACCGGCTAGTGGCCCAGCAGAAGGGCCGGCCCTTCCAGCAGGCAGCGCAGCCCTGCAGGTTTCAACCTGTTGGCAAGGCAGCGGCCAGCGGGCAGCGGCCAGTGGTCAGCGCTGAGGCTGGGCCTGGGGAGGGCACCGCTCCTGATCCCTGCTCTCCTGCCAGCTCCTAAGGGCACCGTACAAACTCGGAACACACCGTGAGAGGCCCTGGGATTCCCGAGCTGTCACGCTCCCTGCAGTTGGCGCAGCTGTGGCTGGTCACAGAGAGGCTGATCGACCGCTCTGTGCTCGTCACCCGAAGGCAATGTGCGCCCACCCTTCTTCACGAAGTTCTTACATCACTTTAGATCAGACAGGCCAAGTCAGACCAATGTCACAGGGATGGATGGCGAGAGAACGCCTTAGGAACTGAATGAGGTAGAAATATTTGGAAAGCACTTGGAAACTGCTAGCCTTTCCTCGGGGCTGAGGGGATGCTGCGGCGTTCCCCATCTCACCATTAGACACAGCTCCCCACACGGCCCTCCACACCAGCCAGCCCGGGTCCGAGGTGTCCTGGAGAAGTGCCTGCTCCTCCACCCATTCCCCCGACCACTCCTCACCGTGCTCCCGCCCAGCCCAGCCCCTCGAGCCTCTCCTCTGACCTCCTGGACCCCCGCTGCTGGACCCTCACGGCGCTAATCGCAGTGGACGGACTTACTGGGCCATGTGCTGGCCCCTGACCTCTGGAAGCCCAGGCCGCCATCTCGTCTGTTTTCAGGCTCCGTCCTAGGACTATTCTACTTTTGGTCAATAGAACGCTATGGATAAATGGGTGAATGCACAGATAAATTCACAGGAAGACACATGAAAAGGAAGACAGACAGGAAGAAGAAATACGATCTCAGAAACGGGCGCCGCGTTTTGGGAGCCTGGGCAGATGGCACAGGTCCTGCGGCCAGCGCCTGCCTGGCACCTCTCTCCTGCCCACCCCACTCCCCTTGAGTTTTTGTCTGCTTGTCCCCATCTTTCCAGGTTAGCAGTTTACACTGTGCTCCTACAATTCCGAGAGTTACGCCTGTCATTCTGACGCAGGGAACCAGCTGGGAAACGCTCTGGGCACAGACAGGAGAGGCCCCCGAAAGCTTGCAGAGCCCCAAGGCACCAGCTCCGGATCGCCCAGCGCAGCGGGGGAGGGGAGGAGAAGGGGAGAGCTTCCGTCTGCACCCCATCCCCACCCACGGTCCCCGCACGCTCTTACCCATGGCTTGCTTGCCCATGGCGCACTGGTAGGTGTTCCTCGGGGACTGGTTGTGGTGCGGATACGGGATGAGGCCGGCGCAGACGCCGAGCAGCGTGAAGGGCTCGATCTCCAGGTGGGTGGTGTCTCTGGCGAGGTAAGAAGCAGACAGCTCAGGCAAGCAGGGCGACATCAGGGCCTCCTGGGGGCCTGAGAGATTTACAAGACAGTGAACTCTGACCCTAAGACAACTGGCGCGACAAAAACGCACTCATATAGGGGTGATAAAACATCACCTAAGTCTTTAGTAGAAATGCTTTCAGGGACTGAACTACAGGGGAAGGGAAATAGTAAGGCATTATTTATACAGAAGGCAGGCCCAGGTAACACACACTAACATCGCAGTCACACGCAGCAGCACACAGGAGTCCACCTAACAAGCCCACTCAGGCGCTCTCTCCTCCTCCGTCCCTCCGAGCGCCAGCTGGAGAGGAAGAGCTGGACAGACCGCGGTGGCCTGCAGCGCAGCTGCTGCAACCGAGGAGCTCATCCTTAATCTTGCTGAATTTCAACACTTAAAACTTTAAAACTCAAATTTACATAACTCCATTTGCTATTTACAATGTTTTAATTATACTTGGAACAACTTCCACTTGTGAATTTACTTTTTCACTTGACAGTGCTGCGAAATCAGGGTATCTCTGCTCCGAAACTCGGGGAGCCACGTGTGCCTGGCAGATTTCCAGGACTTGGGGCAGGAATAGCAGCGAAACAGCTCGGGATTTTCAGGCTGACCGCATGCTGATGGAACGCTGTTTCAGAGGCTGGTGAGATGAAAATACTAACTCTACTCCTGCCCACTCTTTTTAGCTCTGCCCGTGGTCGCTAAGAGATCTGCAGTTGCATCTGAGGCTTTTATCACGGTTTGCTGGGATCACACCCAGAGATTCTCCCCGGTGGGGGTGGGTGTCGACTCCCCGTGACTCTCCTGGTCCATCTCTGCAGAAAACCCAGTTTGGGCTGAATGACAGCCACTCAGGTGCAGTGACAGAGACAGACCCTAAGCCGTGGCCCGAGCCAGCCCAAGGCTCCTGCCTGCGTGCAGGGTGCCTGCTGGCGGGGCTCCACTCTCTGTGGAGAGGACTGGTCTCCGGTGTGGCCGCTCAGCGGTGGCTGCACGGAGCCTCCCATGTGAGGACTTAGTCACCTATTTCCGCTCAGTGCACAGGTACTAAGTCTGCCCCGTGTGGAGAGGGTAGGAATGTCATTTCCGCAAGCCTGGCAGGACCCTAATCCTACCCACACGTCAGGCCGTTGTTGGCAAGGAAGGAAAGGGAGAGCATCACTTGCCGGGCATGGAGAGCACACCTGTAATCCCAGCACTCAGGAGGCTGAGGCAAGAGGACTGCCCTGAGTTTGAGCCTAGCCTGGGCTATGGAATGAGTTCAAGGCCAGTCTACACTTACAGCAAGACCTTGTCTCAAAAACCAGAAACAACAATGGTGTAGAAATCTGAAACCACCTAATCAGCTGTGCTAAGTTGCGGCATGCGTCCCTCAGCAGGCCATCCTTCATCCCGCTCCCAGTATTTATCGACAGGAAGGAGCTAAACGAACTATACGTGCACAGGGGAAGAATACAACAGAAACCAATTTAGATGTATACATGCAAATATAAACACAGACTAGCATGGAGACTGCCTTTAACACACTGTGAAATCTAACCATGCTACCACTGTTCCATACGCTCCCCTCATGTGGGTTCACAGGTGTTTGTCTACATGGCTTAGCAAACTACCTAGAAGAGAACGCATCAAACGGTTAGCACTGGCTGCTCTTGGAGGGCAAACGCGGGGAAGGAGCGGCGTCAACGCTGAAACTCGGGTTTGTGCTGAGCCATGTGCAGACCAAAGCGGTTACCAGGTGGGGATATTACACTATTTAATACAATAACTACAAAAATTCCAATTTCCTGTAAGTGGACTCATCAGAAAGCCAGTGCTACAGACACCATCTACTGTGTTCCAAACGGAGCACAGATGCCTCTGAAAATAGGAACACCTCACACTGACAGTGCGTGCAAGCCTGGGGACGGCGCTGTGCCACACCCACACAGCCCTGCTGACTGACGACCAGCATTCACAAGAATCCTCCGGGAGACAGAAACCGTCTTCCACGTGAACCGACTCACTAAGTTAATTTTCACAGCAATCGAATGTTACAGAAAAGTGACTCCTTTTGAAAAAAACCACTAAGCGTCATGTGAGCAGGAAGGCTAGTGAAACCTACAGATGGCTGTCAGCAGCTCTATGCTACTGTCAACCGGGATAAACGGGGTGCGCTTCCCCAGGAAACCATGGAGGTCCACGGTGAAGACCACAAAAGCACAGGGCGGAGGACGGGGGGAGGCCGACGACCCTCGAGGGAGGCGGGCACCTCTCCCGGGGCGGCCCTGGCTGCCGCTCACTTGTTGACTGTGTGCTCGTAGAGTGCGATGTTGCAATCGTTTTCTTCGTTCACATCTAAGTACTCAACCAGACTCTCGTGTAAGAAGTCCTCAAAGTTCCTGGGGAAACATCGGTGAAGAGACATTACCACTCGAAAGGTGTTTCACTGCAGCACCTTACACGACACGGGCCCAACGCACCCATCTCTCCATAGAGTGCCAACACGGCGGGATGCTGACACCCACCGTTCCAGATCACAGGGTCACACATCCCTGGATAAACACACCATGTGCCCATGGTTCTGGCTGGATCTCGACTTCTGAGACTTTGATGCTAGAAACTGTGTGACAAGAGACCAAGAGAGTCTACGTAACGTACAGATGAAAGTCCCTTTCTGACCAGAAATGTCCCGTGGTGCACTGATTGGTAACCCTTGTACCTAGCTTGATAAACCCTTTACCCTGCCCACGCGTCTGTATATGAAGAAGGATGCTTCTCCAACAGGGTGGTGCAAAGGGACTGAAAGACCGAACAGGAAAATACACAGAAGGACCAGAGAGCACGCATGCGGGGTGCGCAGGGCGGTGACGCTCACTGGCGGGCCCGTACCTGTAGCCCTGAGCCAGCTCTTCCATGTGCTTATTTGTGACTGCGGGCTTCTGTTTCTTGACGATGATATAAGGCCTAAAACGGAAAAAAGGAACAGATCAGTAATGACCACGTCTACCACAGCAAGGTGAGGAAAGGCACAGACACACGCACTCACTCCTACACGCTTGGGGACAGCAGGGATTTCCTGTGTGGGTACAGGAACCCCCCCCCCCCACAATACACACACTCCATTCACATGAGAATACACAGAATACATATTCACAGAACACGACACAGTACTTCAAGTATCTTGGAAAACATTTGGTTTTAAGTAAAAAGGCAACATAAAACAGAGTCTGGAAGGAAATAAATCTCTTCCTTCGTATTTCTATTTTTACCCCAGAAACGTCTCCTAATTTCACACTGGGAAGGTGTGACACACAGTCGTACTCTTCATCTGTGGTTTTGCTTTTGGTGATTTCAGCTTCCCAAGGTCAGCTGAGAAATACTAGGCAGAAAATTCCAGAAATAATTCCTGAGTTCTAAACTGGGCACTGATCTGAGAAGCATGGTGGAATCTTACACCACCTCACTGGTCTGCCTCAGACATGAACCATCCTTTCATCTGCAGCATCCACACCGCACTGATCACTCCCATGATCATCTAGAGCGTCCACACCGCACACGTCACCCACGTGGTCATCTAGAGCGTCGATGCTGCACACGTCACCCGTGTGATCACCTACAGAGTCCACGCCATACAGGTTATCCACTTGGGAGCTGTTCAGCAGCCTCTCAGTCACCAGTTCAAACAGGGCTTGGTGCTACTCGCAGGTCCTGGCCATGTCTGGCAGTGGTACGGGGGCTGCGACACCAAGGGGCCAGCCAAGAAGCACCTGAAGAGAAGTCTGCAAAGTGCTGGATGCAGAGTCGATTCAGGGTAGACAACCACGAACAGGACTCACAGGTTATCTCAAGCCACCGCTGACCCAAGAGCAGCTGGCGGTAACTTCCTGCTGGGCAGTGGCCCCGGATGCACATTAACCTGTAACTGTCAATGGTGGCTGCCCAAGGGCTTCGCCAGTCCAGGAAGCGCACACACGCTCCGAGGCCCGCAGGGCCCACACCTGTTTGGTGTGGTGGTGTTTTGCAGGGCCTAGCCAAATGCGGGTGACGTGTGTGGTATGGACGTTCTAGATGACCACGCGGGTGACGTGTGCAGTGTGGACGCTGTAGATGAGCGACAGGAGCAGGTCAGAGCAGGCGCTCGGGTGCCCACCACGTGCCCGGGACTCGGGTGCCTGCTACACTCAAGGACCGGCGGGAACTGAGCACAGGAAGACTCTGCAGATCACTGGGGCACATGAGTCACTGAAGACACACTGGGCGAGCTTCCCTCGGACACCTGCATGCTGCCAAACTCTAGCCTCTGGTGGGGAATGTGGGGACACCACTGCCACAGGTGAGGGCCACAGTGCCCTGTGGGGAAGACCCAGGTGACAACAGAGATGACAGGGAATGCAATACAGTCTCAGCTCTTCCTGCCTGACCCAAGGATTTCTTTTTCTCTCAGAGTATACCTTCTTATAGTCTGGGTAACGAAAGAAAAATCCCAAACAAGAACAAGCTAGGACATGTCCGTGCTCCTCCTGCCCCAATGAGGCGGTGATGCTACCATCAGAGATGTGTACCCACTACGTGCCTTGCACCCTGGGGAGCCTAGCTCCCCCTCGTTCTCAGGGCAGGCCCAAGCTGTGCTGCCCAGCACCTGACAGCCAAGGAGACCCTGGCCGGAGACTTGACCTGCTCAGGCACACACACGTCACTGTCCCGACACAGGTCTATCATCCTCAGATCCCACCCTGCCCCAGGCCGCCTGCTCACCATGCCTACTGTAACCTTTGTGGTCTGCTCACTGAATCAGATTTATCTTGACAGCAAAAGAGTGAAAACACCTTCACATGTAAAAGCCTACTTCTTCCCACCGTGGACGCGAAGGGACTGTGGCCGGCTCAGCAGCACGTACCTGCACAGCCTCCCTCCGTCTGAGGAAATGTAAACACAGCGGTCCGTGAGGTTCGTGGAGATGGACACGAACTCGTTGATGTACCCGGCTCTGCGCATCAGCCGGAACGTGTGCACCAGCTTCTGGTGGTCTCGAATGACCCCGAGGATGTTGCCTAGTGAAAGAGGTGAGAGAAATAAAGAAGGATCCTGATCTGACTTCTATGTCAGCCAGCGGGAATCCTTGGCAGCTGGGCTGCCATCTGAGAGCACCGTTTCTAGTGGGACACCGCAGTCGGCCTCACTCTGTGGTCCTCGGGGTGTCGAGGAAAGGGGGTGCCCATGAGGGCTGCAAGGCTCGGTGAGAGTATAAGCCAAGAACGCACTCCTGGCAGCACAGGGTGCACTGGACAGAGGCGGGCGGGTATTGGGCAGCCCTGTAGCTCCTGACCTTCCCAGCAGCCCATGTGGCCACAGGCAGTGGCTGCCAGAGAGGGAGGAAGGGAAAGGAGAGGAGCCCCATGCCTAAGTGGCACATCAGACGGGGCCACCACAGCAGCTGCAGAGAGGGCAGCCACACTGCTGGAGCCTGGCCCCCACGGCTCTTCCCTGAGCTGCCTTCGTGTCCCAAATCAATTCGAAACATTTCCCTCTCACGGTCACTGTGACTTTGGGGAAGAGCCAGAGGCCACACAGTGCTGCTGGGTGGCCATGCCTGCCTTCCGCTGGCAGGCTCTCAGCAGCAGTCGTCACCGTATGTCTAACCACACTTCAGAGACACTCACAGAAGAGGACTTCCGGGACTGCTTCGGAAAGCAGGTGGAGGGGGGCGTCTACCGCACAGAGGGACAGAGACTGTTCTGACAGTGGTTTCTACTGTAATGATTCTTTAAAGCTTGGATTCACCATGTATTTTTTTTATCACATCTGTCTGGGCCAAAGGAGAAGAGCTTCTTGCCCAGGCTGCCAACAGCACAAGGATCACATGGCTGGATGCGACTCCCTAAGGGAGGGTCTGGCCATCTCTGCAAGAAGGGCTCAGGGACAGACTTGCTCCTAACCAGGCTGTGCCTCTCTGCGCTCAGGACAGGCCAGCAGCTGGGAAGGGGAGCAGTGCGCCAACCTCGGCAGGGGGCTTAGCACTCCCAGTGCCCCAGCTCCGACTTCTAACATTCCACTGAGGTCCAGCTGGGCCCAGCACTGAAACGTGCTTGTGCTGTGAACACGGGTGCAGAAATAGGCTCCCCGCCCTGCTCTCTAACGCACCCACCATTGAGAAAGACCAGGAACACATTTGGGTAGGAGAGCTCCTCCCCACACAGGAAGTTCACGTCCTCCACTCCCAGGTTGCTGGCTAACTTAACAATGGGTCCGTCTTCCATGTCGGTTGTGATATGAGTCATCAGGGCCAAATTTTTCACCAAACCGCAGGCCTGAAAACAAGACAGTCAGTTCTAAGAACCCACATTAGGAACACAGAACCAGTATGCGTCTGAAAACACCACTCTGCGTGGCAACACAAAGGAGCGTTGCCTGGTAAGGCACTCTGGCAAATCACAAGAGACTGAAATCCACGTACGCCTTAACCCCAGGTAAAACGCTGTAAAACGTTTAGCTGAAGTGCTGAGTGTGGTATCATTTGTAAGTAACGATGACATCATGGAGTGCAACAGAAGAAGAGGATTGTAACAACAGGTATACCCACACGAGCAGCCGCCATACCCGGTGTGATGACACCAGCTGGAACTCTCACCGATTCCTGGTCAGTAAGGGCAAAGAAGAACTAGGGGACTGGTCCAGGCGGAAAGAGCACACACTCCTAGGTCAGAACACGACACTGGCAGAGCCATGGGAGGGAGGGAAACAGTCCCAGATGGTTTCGAGCATCAGCCTCACGAGGCTGGTGACTGTGCAACACCCATGTCAGATGGCCACATCTGGGACTGAAGGGTTACAGAAATCATCTTTGTGCTATGTTTGCAACCTTTTTGTAGCTCTGGAATTATTTCACAATGAAAAGGAAATATGAAATATTTCTAAACTTCCATACAGACAAAAAAAAATATATATATCAGAAACAAAAATACCAGTTAAGGACAAAGCACAGCAAACAGAAAACACATTAAGGACACGTGACATGTAAAGATTATACTGTTAACTCTTTGTACAAAGCAGCCACTTTGTTGATGCTAGCTGAAGCAGTCTCTGGGATATTTAGTATACCCAGGCTGACCATGATAAGCAACGCATACGTGGAAACCTGCAAATGTCCAGTGTACGTGTCCATGTGGCTTTAGGTAAGCCGAGTAATTTCTAAAACTCCCAACTCTTCATGGACATCAACTTTTCACCTTCTCCAAGTTATAACAAATCTCTATACTTTGAACCCCCATCTTTACTCACTGTAAGTTAACTGATGCATTCATTCAGCACATATCTACGAGGCTTCCGTTCTAAACCAGGCTTATGTGAGGAACCTGAGTTACAACGCTGACCGTTCTTCCCCTGGAAGTCCATGACTTAGAATGAACGGCAGCAAGAGAAAGCAGCCACGCTAACACCAAAGCGATGTTAGAGAAGCAACCCTCCAAGACCCCGGTCAGGGCCTGGGTGCAGCCTCAGCGTGCTGTACCTAGGGGACCACACACTCACCACCGGAACAGAGCGGCGACGTCCTCCCAGTGCCCAGCTAAGTCAGGTGCTGCCCAGAACGGACGCGTTATGAGTGTCACGGTGACAGGTCCCACGACTGCCCGTGCGTTGTTTTCCCCTTGTTCTCAGGATAAACTAAAATCAGCAGGGAAATGTGGCCCCCGTATCTCTGCAGGGAAGATGCTGCATCAAATGTTTCTCAGAGAATGGCTCTGGGATGATACCAATCTGGTCTTCTGTTTTGTTTTGGTGTGCGTTTTTGGTACCAGTAATCGAACTTGGGTCCTCGTGCTTGCCAGGCAGGCACTGTGCCACTGAGCTGTGTCCCCGGCCCCCCAGCGTAGTCTTGACAAGCTGCATCAATATTGCTTGCCAGCTAAGTAGCCACCAATGCAAAGGAGCAGCTTGGGGCTGGGCATAGAGCTCAACCTTCCAGACTGGCCCTGTCCAGCAGAGCGGGGGCGGGGATCTCACCTCTCCTTCAGGAGTGTCCGAAGGGCACAGCATTCCCCACTGCGACGGCTGCAGGGAGCGAGGCCCGCTCACTTTTCTGGTTTTTTCAAACTGGGAAGAGATTCTTGTCATCATGCCCAGCGCAGATATGTAGGACAGACGTGACAGCACCTGGGTCACACCCTGGCGATCCATTTTAAATCTCTTCAGAGACCAGTTTCCCTGTGGAGAGACAAAAGATATGAGACCACGCAGGGCCCTTTCCTGAGTTCACTGACGCAGCAGTCGCTTGCTCTGACAAGTTCACTGTAGAAACTGCTCGCCAACAACATCACAGCTGTGATGATCTGCAGGAGCCCAAATGCCACAACCAGGTGCAATCTTAGCAGGCTTCTGCCGGCATTTCCGCAGACCAGGGTGACTGTGAACAGCTGCAGGCAGCCTCAGGGCGGCCGAGCAGGCGTCCTGGGAGGCGCTGCCACCCGCTGACCCAGCTGCTTTCCTGGAGCCGCACGGGAGGTGGTGGCTGCCAGAGCTGCAGCCATCGCGGCCCAGCTCCGGTGGGGCGGCCCGCTGCTCACAGAGACAACTCCTATGGGGTGTGGTATTCAGAGGGCTTCCCAAATTGGGCTTAACTACAAGAAAACAACAGAAAGTGATGGCTAGCAATTCTTGACTGAGGCCAGAGAAATCTAAAAATCGTACACTAGTGATGGTGGGCCCTGCAGAGCTTCCAAGGTCAGCACAGGGCCCACTGCAGCACATGTGCCCCAAGTCAGTGCACCACCGCTGCCACATGCGCAGGCACATTAAGAAGTCCTGCACCCCTCTGCGACTGTCAGCGTTAAAGTAGTCACGTAAATGAGTCTTAACATAAAACCTACCTTCTGTGCACCAGATACTCATATTAAATATACTGGGGGCACACATTAAATTGCCAGAAGTTAAGTTCACGGTAACTCGAGTGAAACTTGGAAACAATACGCATCAACAAAGCAGAGAGAAAGGCCAGAAGTAACGGCAGACTGAAACGTCTTTCTGATTCCAAAGAGGAAAACAGCGTCTGCCGCTCTCCGTGCTCCCTGCAGACCCAATGACACTTCCTAGAGGACACCATGGAGGACCACGCAATTTCAGGAGCGGACGCAGGGATCCAGCCTGCGAGTCCTTGCAGCACGCGGTGCTGAGGTTTCAGACGTTAGCTGGGAGCCCGCATCAGGACCGAGGCTTTGGGAGGCCTCTCCGCAACAGTGAGGATCTGTCACCCGAGAACCTTGAGTTCTTGATCACACGGAAATGAGCTAAATTCTAAGAAGCCTTTTCCACTACAAAATAAAGTAACAGCGCAACCACGTGTGCCCCTCACGTTAGCCAGCTGTGCTGCTCACTCAGGTAACTGCTTTCACCTTTGGAACTGGAATGACTCTAGCAGGCGGACGTAAGCCCGAGAGTGAACAAGGGAAATAAATATCTAGCACAGCGCCCAACACAGCAGCAGCCGCTGAACAGGAAGGAGGCGGGCAGTACAGAAAGACACAGGGAGAGCGTGGGCTCCAGCCTGCAGGGGCGCCCAAAGGCAGGGGAGAGACAGTCTGAAACCGCTCCTCAGAGGAAGCAGGGCTGCGGACGCCCCAGCAGAGGCCCAGGCCAACCCCGCCGGTGAGCAGTCCTGGGGCAGACAAAGCAGCGTCCCGAGGGCACAAGACCTGCCGCCAGCAGCAGTGGGACAACCGAGTCAGGCATCAGGGGCAGGGACAGACCCGGCTCAGTGGCGCGGTCAGCGCTGCGCTCTGCGAGCCGCCCGCACACCCCGCCTGGCCCCTTCCCCGCACTCACGGTGGAGATGGCATTCACCATGCCGTTGGTGATCTGGTCTTGGCGCATGTGTTTCACAACATCAAACTGGGCCGCTCTTTGTTTGGGAATCACCTGGTCTGCGATCTTCTTCATTTCAGAATTAAATTTTTTGAACAAATCTTCAAAGAGAAGAGACAGAAGCTAAAAGAAAAGGAAAGTTCATTTAAATGGAAAATTTCAAAACGTACCACAGGGCTATTTTACCGAGCTCAAGACTTAAGGCTTTACTGCAAAAAACAAGACAAAGCAACTGTTAGAAACAGGAAAAACTTAATGTAACATTAGAAACATTTATCTTAAAGCTTGTTCTGAGTGACGCGAACACAGCTTCCTACGGGCCTCCACCTCTGCAGGTCTGGGCACGGGGCCACAGGTCACGATACAGTCCCCGCGCTCAGAGCACTGCAGTTAGACCAGTTGTTCCCAGACTTTCAGGTTTCACTGACCAGTGATCTCATTTTTAATTCTAAAAATAAAGACACTGAACCCAAAACCAAAAGGGAGGAAAAAGAGAAAGAGGTGGGCACTGCTGCTAAAGAGTGAGTTTTGCTGTCACTGCTACAGCCCCTCAGGAGCGGCTGCCCTCGTCTCGGGGGCCAGCAGGTGCAGCGCTGCCCTATACGGTTCCAGTGCAACCGCTGGCCCCTGCGCGTCTCCACCCAGCCCAGGCTGGAGCCCTGCCCGATGGGTGAGCTGTTCCGACTCGGCCTGAGAGGGGCACCGTGAGAGTCGGTCCCTACGGAACAGCAGCTGCTGCAAGGGACACAAATCAGACTCAGACACCTGCGGCACGCTGGCCAGCAGTGCAAACACAAAGCCAGCAAGGCTCCATGTGAGAAACAGGACTAGGACTCAAGAAATCAGATTAATTAAAGAGAAAACAAGTTAATTAAAGAGAAAACTGAAGGCGAAATCGTAGGAACAGGGAAGACGCCTTCTTGAGAGAGTGAAAGGTGCAGAGCCATCAGGAAATGACAGGCGCACCCCAGTCCCCCAGCCAGCGTAACACTAAGAATGGCCAATACACCCCACATCAGAACAAAGCCGCACTGCCGCACCGCCGACTGGGGAGGCCCAAGCAGGAGGCAGCGCTGCAGGGAAGCGAGGACAGGAGCTCCACGAGCGGAGGAGCGGGAGGGCTGTAACCCTAAGGCCACCCCGTGAGCCCCTGGGCACCACGCCAGCCACAAGTCCTGCCCTGCACACTCAGGAAAGGCCACCCAGCTGGAACACGGGCAGCGGCAGCGGAGGCCACCGCCCTCCCCGCAGACTTCCCCACCAGGGAAGCAGCCCTTCAGGGGCCAGGTGCGGCCCGACACCCTGCAGTCTCGAAAGGCTGCACTCAGAGGGCTGGAGGCAGAGCTACTGGCCTCGGGGCAAGAGAAGCCTGGCACCCAAGCCCACCCTGGAGGAGGCCGGCAGACCTCAGAGAGGTGCCATGCCAAGGGGAGAGGTGCAGCGCAAAGGCCATCTTTCCGGGGAGGCGCAGGAAGGCCACACAGCAGGGCCGGGTCCCACGGAAGGGGCTGCAGACTGAATGCTTCCCTCTGCAGAACCGGGAAAGGAGCGAAGGCCCACTCTCACCACTCCCACTCAGCGGCGCAGAGGAAGAGAAAAAGGAATCAAAGAGAAGCAATGAAACCATGTCCATGTGCAACAACACACGGACCCACACAGAAAGTCCCAAGGAGGCTAAAGAAACTCTCCTGGAAGCAATACATGTGCTGAGCAGGTCGGTAAGATCCAAGGCCAGTAAACCACAGCAAAGGTACTTAAAACACCACCAGCAGAAATTTTTAAAAATCTCAGTGGGAGGGGCAGGGATTTAGCTCAGCGGCATAAGAACCTGCCATGCAAGTAGGTGGCCCTGAGTTCAATTCAATAAAAAAACAAAACAAAAAAATCTCAGTGGGAGAAATATGTAATTCACAGGTTGGAAGATTAAATATTTAGATGTCAATTCTCCCAAACTGACCTATAGATACGGATGCAATCAAGTTACTGGGCATTTATTTATAAAAATGGAGAAACCAATTCTAAATTTTATGTAAAACTGTTAAAATTCCTAAGTTTACAATGATACTCAAAAAGAAGAAAAAACTGTACTACCTGGGTCTGGAGGAAACTGAAGACCTAAATCATTCCTCTCCAAACTGGCTGAAAACACACAGCAGGCGCTCGTCCCCCTTTCTCACATGAATGAGGTCTCAGGCCTCCGAAGTTGCTAACTAGGACAGGACTTCGTTGCACATTCCAATGAAATAGTGGATAACAGAAATGATCATCACAGGCTGCTAAATAAAACCAGCCGTCAGGAGGAAGACCAACGGGGGACACAGCAGGCAAATCAAGAGCCTCAAACACCTGACCCAGTGACCAAGCCCAGCAGCACAAAAAGCAAGACACAACCAGACCTGTCCTTCCTGACAGGACACAGCACAGCACCCATGCGTGGGAAAACCAAACACTCAAATGCTCTGACGAGCCTCCAACCTCTAGATTTAAATACTGATTTATAAAACCTCCAGGAGAGAGGAAGAAAGCAAACACACACACACACACACACACACACACACACACACACACACATATAAATTTAGTTACCACCTGGACTAGGCTCTGGGATAGACAGCCGACAGAGCATTACTTCTGAGTACATCTACCAGAGTATCATTATTTCTGGAAAAGGAATTGTCCTTTGTTGTCTTTATCTACTGGTTTTTCTTGGCACTAGGGACTGAACACAGGGCCTCTACCCCACATACCCAGTCCTCTTTCAGTTTTCATTCTGAGACAACATCTTCCCAAGTCACTAAGTTGCCCGGGCTGGACTCCATCTTGTGTTCCTCCTGCCTCAGCCTCCAGAGTCCAGGGATTAAAGGCGTGAGCTACACCAGCTGGATCCTGGCTTTGATCAGTGAACTGAGTGAAGAAGACCCTGCCTCTTAGGGAAGGTGGGCACCTGTCTGTTGAGGGCCGGACAGAGCAGCAGCCGGAGCAGAAGCAAACTGGCACTTTCCTGCAGCAGGGAGCCCTCTCAGAATGCCAGGCCTCGCCTGCCTTTGGCCCCTGGGGCTCACAGCAGTGGGGACTTTTAGGACTGCAGCCTCGGACGGACAGCTCCCATGCCTCCCCTCCCTGGCTGGCAGGTCTCAGGCTCGGGACTGAGCTGCGGCAGCCTCCGTGCTTCTCCACCTACAGACCACAGACCAGGGGCTTCTCTGCTTTGTACTCATGGGAGCCATTCCCATGAAACATAACAGATTCTACGTGAAAAGCCCAATGTAAGCTACAGTAACATAACAGTAAGGAAATCTGTAGTGGTTCCTTAAAGCAAGCAACTATTCCTTAACAATCTTTGCATAAAAATGGTATTTTTTTTTTTTTTTTGGTTTGGTGTATTAGAGATATATTTCTAAGTCTTTATAAGACATAAACTTTATAGCTGATGAGATACTGAAATGATCTGATGACCGTAATTTGTTTAAGCTCAATGTACAGACAAAGAGAGACGGGAGCAAAGCCAGACTACTTCTAGTGACAATAAATGAAGTTTGGTGATGTGCATGTGGGAACTAATTTTACTATTACATTTCTGGATGGGCTTGAACTTTTTCATGTTTAGTATTTGCAAAAAATCCAGGCTGGAGACTTAGCTCAGCAGCCTAAGTACCTGCCTAGCAAGTACAAGGTTGTGAATTTGATCCCCGGTACCCCCCACCCCCAAAATCCCTAAAGTATTTTACAAGTATATCTAACAAAAGGTGCAAACAACTTTAATGGAGCAAATCAGAAAATCTTATAGAACAACATTAAAGAAAACCTAATAAATGAAAAGAAGATATTTAGGGGTAAGATGGCTACTATCTCAAGACTATTTTTCTGAATTTGATCTGCAATTTAACTCCAATCAAAATCCCTAGGAGATTCTGAATGAAAACTGACAGACAAATTCTAAGCTGATATGGAAAAGCAAAGACCCTGAGGGCTAAGGCAGCCCTGGCAGGGGAAGGCACAGACAAACGGACTGCCGGACAGACAGGCCCCAAGTAGACCCATACACATCTTGCAATGTACCACAGGAGCAGCACGGAAATACAAGACCACAGGACACATGATGCTAGGGAAACTCACTTCCCATTTAGAAGACAAATCAAATGGACTCCTATGGACTCCGAGGGACTGACACAGAAACAGCAAGGGCGCAAGCTTAAAAAGTAAAGAGCAGGAACTATTGAGAAAGGGGTGACAAAACCGACCACAAGCTTACAAACATTAAAAGACTTGATAAAGTAAAAAAAAAGAATTTTGTCAGAGAACACTGTGGCGTGGCCCGGCACGTCTGAACTGAGGAGGAGGAGACAGCTAGGGGCAGGACAGGCTGGGCTGAGGCCCCCTGGAGACTGTCTGGATGGTTTTCCTTAATTAGCAGGTCTGCGGCTCTGAGGGTCCTTGAGCCCCTCCCAAGACCCTGCTCAGGTTTTGTCCGCTGTCCACTCAGCTCCTTGCTTGTCCTGATTAAGTACGGCTGCCCAGCGTCGGTGGCCAGCTGCAGAGTTCCGGCTCTGCCGAGGCTCTCTCTCCTCCTGCAGCCCTCAGACCGTGCCGTGTCTCTCACTACTCTGAGCCTTCACCATGCACCTGTCGGGGGGATTGGGCTCTAGGTACAGACCCCGACAGAATTTAGACTGCAACACACATAACTGGTAAAAAAAAAAAAATTCGGATCCAACACATGTAAAAAATCTCCTTGAAGCCAATAAGGAAAACACAAAGAACCTGAAAGGTGTCTCAGAGGGGAAACAGGATTGGCCAAGAAGCACATGGAAAGACCCAACTCGACAGTCATGGAGGAAACGCTTAGTCAGACCAGAAGGGGCGCTGCTTTCATGCCCTCACCGTGAGACAGACCAGGCTGCGACCAGGGTCTGGTGCGGAGCCGCTTCGACCTTCTCCTGCTAAGCGGGACGGTCAGGGGCCTCCAGGACAAGGGGATGGTCCTCACAGAAACGCTCACGTGTGGGACCCAGGAAATATGAATGACAATGTCCGTATGTAAAAGCGGGAACTATAGAAAACTCTTGATCAGAATCCTATATGTATTACAACAAATCTGCACAAATGGAATGTGATACAGAAATGACACGTACTGCGGAGGCACGCAGTAACACGGATAAGTCTTAAAACTACTGTTGAGTAAAAAAAGTAGTCACAGAAAACATACAGTAGCAATCCTTTTACAAAGCTCAGACAAACATAGTGTAATAACATTTTAAGATTTTAAAATTAAACAATATAGTAAGTCAAGAAAATAACAAATAGAAATATTTGGCTAGTGGGAAGAAAAGAGGAGCAGCGTAATAAATAGGTGGAGGGAAGGTACCGGCCAAGTCCAAGTCTCAAGGTGGGAGTGGCCCAAGGGTGACTGCTATGGAACTTTCTTATGTTAAAAATGAGGTAAGGAAAATTCATGCTATTAAGCCACGGCGAGGGTTTCACAGCAGGGTGGTCAGGGCAGCCGGCAGCAGCCGGCACGGAGGTGAAGGACTGGAGTGTGAGCAGCTTCCCACAGACCCATCAGCTGCAGCAGGAACCGCAGTCTGGACAGGACACCAGCGGCCAAGCCCAGGAGGGCGAGTGGCCCAGGCCCTGTCCCTGCAAGACGGGCCCAGGCCTCACGGAAGTTAAGCTCAAGGAGACCTGCAGTCTCACTGGACAGAGAGCAGGGGATGACCGGCAGCTGGACAGCAAGGGGGAGGAAGCAGAGACCCAAGAGACAAAGCCAGGTCCTGTGTCCTGACTGCTGCCCCTCTGCCAGACCCTGCCATATGTGCGCGCGCGCGTGCGCGCGCGCACACACACACACACACACACACACACACACACACACGGGGAGGTGTGGCTGCTGTGCCCACTCAGCCCCACCTCCCGGCAGACGCTGGGGCAGCCTTGGTCCAGAGTAAGGGGAGGACAGCGGAGTGACTCACATCTACGCCCCAAAGTCCCACAGTTCATTTTGTTCCCGGAAAACACTACAGGGCCCTGATGCCAGTGCAGCCCAGAGCCCTGGCCACCCTCCAGCAGAGGCCACCACTGCACACCGACGCAGAAGACACCCAGCCAGGCCAGGCTGGCCCGCACCTGGCTCCCACTACCAAGTCACGGCTGGCTGTGGTAGGCCGTGCTCTGGAACAATGCAGTACGCGGCTTACTACAAATAAAGAGCAACACACGCCACAGAGGCCACCACTGCTAGCCCTGCATAACGACTCGCCTTCTCCCGTTGGTCAGCACTCTACTGTCACGGAGCAAGCAGGTTTCAGGTCCACTCACAAACACTGAAGTACGGAGGGGCACTAGACTCACAGGCATTACTTAATCAGAGAAACGTGCTGGGTGTGGGGAGTTTTTTAAACAAAGGATCTGCTGAAAGGTATACTGGACTGGTATACTGGTATACTGGACTCTTAAGCCACGCAAGTCACGCGAGGCTTCTCCAGGTGACCACCTGAATAGAGAACCCCGGGCCGGGGCCTTGCGCTCTCGCTCCAGGTCAGACGCGTCCTTCCGCTCTGCCACCCAAACCAACTCTGCAGCAGACGGCAGAGGCCGGGATCTTGGCCACGAACTTCCCGTCACCAGTGTTCTAAAAGCAAAGCCCTCCTCGGAGAGCTTAATCCCCTCCGGGCAGACCCAGCGGCCTGGCCTCCCTCGGGCAGAAGAAGGACTGTGGGAAGAGCAGGTGCAGGCCGGAGGGACGGCCGCTCCCCACTTCCTGTGGGAGCTAAGCTGGCAGCGGACTGAATGAGCGGCCGGACAGAACCAAATGCCCTCGACCTCCACCACAAAAGCCCAGTTCTCCTTCAATGAGTGCCCTGCACTTAGCCACTTTTGTCTCAAATTATGACAAAGTTTCTTTGGATCGCAGCTGAATTTTTTGTGGCCCCCCAAAGAAACAGCCCTGCTAGTAAACCAGTGAGAAGGGCACAGTCGGCAGAAAAGCTCCCGGTTAACAAACTTCTCAAGTTGAGGAAAATAATGCTGTCCAGTTAGCAGAGCAGGGAGAAAGTGCAAGGCCCAGCTGCACGCTCCAGCAAGTGATTTAGGTCAAGAGTGAGACAGTGAGAGCGGCCCAATGCGGCGGGAGCCGATGCTCTCGGCCCTCACTGCTGCTGCAGGTCTGTCCACCTGCTGAGGCTGCGCACATCATATTTAAGGGGAAAACACTGACAGCTCATCAACTGATTTTCAATGAAAATGCTAAAAAAATTAATAAAGAAGTTAAGCCGCTGAAATACAGTTTCACCAATTAGCTTAATGTCAGAGAATTCTAATTAGGCGTCTTGAGATTGCTATTTAGTGTTTAAGCCTTCAGAGTGCCAAATTCTCCTTTTCACACAAACTGGTTGCAAAATTAAAGACATTAGGCAGCCTTAATTACATTATCAGAACAGCTGGGATTAGGCAATCTCTGAAGTCAAGACGGCATTCTTTTGTCCCGGGTGGAAATCCCTGGCTTTCCAGGGTGCCGGATTTTGGTGCCATTCCATATCTCACCCAAACAAAGCAAGCTGTATTAGAAACAAAAAATTTGCAGACAAAGAATAGAGTAATGCACAGCAAATAATGAACACATTACCGAAAAAGAAAAGGTAGGTGAAAAGATTAAGCCTGAAGCCGGTAGGTTTTGCTAACACCTCCGCTGGCGGCCAGCCCACCGAGCCTCTGGCGGCAGCGACACAGAACCCATGAACCGGCCCAGCCTGGGGAGGGAGGCCGCACTGTTATCTGAGGCTCAGGCACATCCCGCTGCCCCTCCCAGGGGGTGCAAAATTAGCGGCTATTGTTTTGGCACATTTTTGCCCACACAATGCCTTCTGTGTCTACGCTGTCTAGAAAGCCAGGCTTCCCTGCACTGGGGGACCCCCTTTCCATTCTCCTTTCCTAAGCAGCAGGATAATCGCTCCTTCACCCTCCTGCTCCAATCCTAAGGCCTCCAAATCACCGACTTTATAAACTGGGCTTGGGTAACAGCAGGACTTTCTCCTACTGAAACACACTGAAAGCCGGGGCTGGTGATGCACAGGTCCTTGCGTGGACTCAACCCGGACAGGGTGGAGACGCGCTCACCCCGCATCGGCCGCTGCCAGAGCCTTGAGGTCCAGACACCAGCTTTCCCTAAACTGCTGCGGTATCTGAGGGCCAGCTTGTCACCTCCGTTGCAGCCCTGTCTACAGCTACCATCACCAGCCACTCACTCCTCTCTGCTCCAAAGCAGTCTACACTGCAGCTTAGGTCACAGCACTCTCCTGACCAACAGCTGCCAGTGTGAATAAACCCAGACTTACAGGCTCCAGATAACCCAGGCCCACCTCTCCCCAGCACTGCCCACGCACGGCGCCCTCACTCCCACCAGCCTAACTGTCCCCCACACCTGCTGGTGTGTCTCGATAGAATTCAGCCTGGTGGGCTATATGACACTGGCTTCTCCTCATGTGGTGCAGCCTGAACTTATGACACGGCTGGCTTCGAATGTGTTATTTTTCAAGGAGGTCTCACGATCATCCTGACAAATGGGAATGCCTTCCCCCACCAACACCTTCCCCACTGCTCTGAGTGTGGAAAGGCATGGCCTGTCCTCAGAAAAGCCAAGTCAGAGAATGGGCCCATGAGGCAGCACAATCAGCACACAGGGATTTTAAAGTGGCCATTAAATTCCAAAGATGTAAATAAAAGTATAATTGTGATAGCCAAACCAACAAGAAATCTCAGCAGGGACATGGAAGCCATGGGAAAAAAATGCCCACATTGACTTTTTAGAATTGACAAAATACACAGATCAAAAACTTAACTGGGGCTGGGGATTTAGCTCAGCGGCATAAGCACCTGCCTTGCAAGTGGGCGGTCATGAGTTCAATCCCTGGTACCGTTAAAAAAAAAAAAGTTAAAAAAAAAAAACTTAACTGGAGTATAACAAAGAATTAGAATGAGTAAAAGCAACTTGAAAAGAGTCAATAAGTATCATCCATTCCGAAGAGAAAAATATTATAAAACATTAACAGAACCTCTGTGTTTAAAAGTTTAATGGTGTAATTGGAGTCAGAAGGAGATAGAAAATAACATATAAAAAGGTATTTGAATAAAGCTCGAAAACTACTCAAATTTGGTGAAAGAAACACATTTACAGATTTGAAAAGTTAGTGAACCCTAAGAAAACAAGGGACAATCACACCAACATAACTCTTTAAAAGCAAAGGAAAAACAAAACACATTAATAAAGCCAGGTGTGTATTCTAGCTCGTTCATTTAAGGGAATTTGTGATTGAAAGCTGTCTGAAACCTGAAGTTGGAAAGCTTTTTACACCCCTGGGATATATTTTCAAGACAGCACGGATCAACAAGGACTAAAACAGACCTCGGCCGTCTCCCTAAGCTACTTGTGTGTGTCTCTGCCTGCAGGGGCTCGCTGTGTATCCTCTCTCCGCTATGCCCAGGGACCAGGGCACTGGGACCTCTGCGTGTCATGCCCGTGGTACACCGGGCACCTAGGGGAATGTCTTGAACGTAACAGGTGCTAACTGAATGCACAAGGTTAAAGTTATATTTCACTTCTGACCTTACGGGGAATGAAGAGAAGTTATAACTTAGGAAACATGCTATTAACATACTTAAAGGATTAATGTGGACTTTTCAGAGTTAAATTCTTGAATCTAGGACACAGTAAACCATGTGTGACAGTTTATAGTAAACATATGCTATACTCCAAATGTCTCTTCCCTTATCTAAAATGAATCAAACTGTTACTAGCAAAAGTTAGGTTTTTTGATGTAACAGCTGCATCACCTGTCCTGCCAGTTCCAGCCGCTTGTTTCCGTAGTAGTCTCTGTCATCCACTTTATTGTCCCCCTGGGCCAGGATGACTCTGCGAACCATCACTGCAGTGTAGATACACTTGGCTCGGAAGTTGAACTCCTTGACCTGCCACGCAGAAATCACAGGACAGTTCTGAGACGACATGTACTAACAGTGAGGTGCCTTAAGGAAAGAACCAATGCCGCAACCTTGAAACATGCCCCCATCTATCGGTAAATCCCAGCAACCAGGACTCCGCGGTTCCTCAGACAGGGGCTGCCGCCCGCCCCTTCCTCCTCCCCACACCTCGGCCCTGCCACGAGCTCAGAGCGTGCAGCACACACTGCGGAGCCTGAGCCCCGGAGGAAGCAGCATGCGCTCACTCCACGGAGGAGAACGCTGCCGCTCAGGAGAGCCAGGTTCTGTCTACAGAAGATCACAGCAAGTAAGACCCCGAATCCGAGCAGTGCTATCTCTGGCTCCACAGTCCTTATCGCTTCCACTACCCATCGCCACTCTCTGGAGTTTCAAACCACCTTTCCAGTTATCTAAAAATGCTTAAAATTCAGTTGGGACTCAGGTTTAAACAATTTTCTGCTTCTTTGGAGGGCATCAAGGACACATAAATGCCACCGAAGGGCAGCAGCACGGAGCACATTGAGTGCTACCACGTAGCCCTCTGCACCCCCACAGGTGCCTCACCTGTCCCCTCCTCCACAGCTGGTCCTGAGACCTGCACGCGCACTCAGCAGGCAGGGTGACCCTGATTTGCCGCAGCACCTCTGTTACACGGAGCAGTGGGCTCTTGCCAGCACCTGCCACGCCAACACAGCCAGTCTGCTTGGGAAGTTAACAGAACACACCCACCCTGCACTGCTTCAAAGCATGGGGGACAGACTCCAGGTCCCTCTGTAACTACGAGCCAGCTGGGTGATGAAAGGGTTTTGGTCCAGACAGGACACTGTAGCCAGGAAAGCCTCAGCCGAAACCAGGAAGCTCCTATCTCCCCCGCCCCTTGAGATTTACCTGTGATTCTATCTCCCCTCATCCTTAGGAATCTGCCTCTGGTGCCAAACATGTGCCAATGAGATACCTGTGCATCTCGAATGGCACTACCCAAAGTTTAGGCTACTTATATACCCCCCAGGCCACATGTCCGCCAGAGAGAAAGCCGGATTCCAGGGGTTGGAGTGGGGTGGGGGGGTCGGTTATCTCTCTCCATGTTCTCAGAATAAAGGCCTCTTTTGTTTTATATTTCATATCTTTTGGAAATAATCCTATCAGGTGACACGGCAAGTCACCAGCTGGTGTGGTCCAGGGACCTTCACTGCAGGCGAAGGAGGCTAAACAAGTCAACCCTAAAAGTCCAGGTACTTAAAGTACTTAAAGCACTTAAAAATCAAAGTACTTATTGCAGTGGGGTTGTACTCAGTGACAGAGAACCACACCTAGAATGATAACCCAGGTATGCTTTACTACAGTGAGTAAAGGCCTAGGGGAAAGGCACCATACGCACGTTTGAATTTATTGTAAAAACATACAACACACCAGCTCTGTCCTCTGAAACTATGACATCTAGTAGCAGTGTGCACACACCCATGTGAGTATACAGTAAGTCAAATGCAGAGGACCCTGAGACGGTGCGGGTGCCGGTGGTAACCGGACTAAGATTCTGAATACTAAGAACCTACTGGTTGCAGAAGGCCTACGGTCCTCCAGAATTCTCTCTTAAGTAACAAGCTCTAAACAGCACAAATGTGTCTTCATGACTGTGAGCACACCATGGACCCCACACTCATGACTATTCAGAGTTGGAAAATAGTTACTCACCGGTACGTGGGTCAGAATGGTGGAAGCCAGGAGCTCTCTCGCTTCTTCTATCTTGGTCTTTTTTGGTCCACCTCCCCACATCCTTTGCCTTCTTACTTTATTTCCTATGTACTTTAACGCCTATAAAATAAGCAAGAGTGGCTGAGTGACATCACTGGAGATCATTTATTAAGCATCAACTCACATACACATTACATGCAAAAAACAGGAAGAGTGGGCTGGGGATTTAGCTCAGCGGCATAAGCGCCTGCCTTGCAAGCGCACAGTCGTGAGTTTGATCCTCAGTACCAAAAAAAAAAAAAAAAAACAGGAAGAGAAAGGAATAGCAGAACTCTGTAAGGGCCCTGGCTGTAGAGAGCTGCCCTAGGAGTGGCCAAAAAAATCAGCATTTATCATGAATCAATGCCAGAAGAACATAACCACTGCCCAGTACACTGGCTCCCTTTTTAATTGAAAAATGTTTCTCCTCCTATAAAATTGACATTATGAAGAATTCAAAAAATATAGGTATAGGCGCACGTGTGTGTATGTGTGTGTGTGTAACACAGCCATTAACCATTCACTCAGAGAACCAGAGCTAACACTGTGAGATGGTACCTTTTTCTCTTAAAAGCACAACATATAACACCAGTACACCAAAAGCTACAAATCACTGCTAAGACAAAACAAACTCTAATAAACTGAAGGCTATACTGCTAATCAGACTCCTAACGGCCATATAATCAACAAAGATCAGGTGATTTTGGAGTTAAGATTCCATAATTTACACAGCAATGCAAAAAAAGTTTACACACTTAATAAAAAAGTTTGGAGTATTTACATTACCTGACTTCAACTATGAAGCTCTAAGAATCACAGTGACACTGACGCAACAACAGGCCACAGAAGAGGATGCAAGAAATAAACTCAGGCTCCTCAGTCAACTGATTTTGCACAAAAGTGCCCAAGCGATTCGATGAGGAAGAAAAAGCCTTTTCAACACGCAGCGGTGAAACAAGTAAACGTCCATACAGTCAAAAAAATAACCAGCTGCTACCTTGCACCCAGGTGAGTAACTCAGGTTGATTTTAGGCCTAATATAAAAACTAAAACTATGAGGCTTCTACAAGAAATCATAGGTTATGTTCCTGACCTTGGGGTAGGCAAGGATTTCTTTAAACAGGAAACAGAAATCAACTGGCCAGAAAGGACAGTTCAGTAAGGAAAATGAACTCTGCTGGACGAAGAAAACAGCAATGACCAGTATACACCCCCAGGTCAGCATCAGTCGTCACCGGGGAAACGGAAACAAGCGCCGCAGCGGCAGCGTGCTGACACACCTGACACCACACTTTGGCATTTTATAACCATCGAGTACTTTTTAAAATCCTGGCTCTCAGCCCTCAGAAGCGAGGGGTGGCCCCTGGCCCTCAGCCCCGGAGCACCGCCGTCCTGTGTAATGCACCCCTGGATCAGGCTGCAGAGCGTGGGGCGGGGCCTGGCCTGGCTTCTCTCTCTCTGCTACTCTAAACTCTCTGCACATAAGAACTGAGTACTCTCACGCACCTCTGCCTAGTTACATGTGCGCACCTGTGCGCGGGAACTCTGAAAGCGTGCTCTGTGCCTCTTAATAGTGTATTGGGCCTGCAACTAACCAGAAAGCCTTCTTGGTAATGCAATTTGGACATCAACTCTAGGATCTTCCCTGTTAGAAGCCAGCAGCACACCAGACAAACCCTCAACACACTGGCTGCCCTGGGCTACAGTAAACAGTAACCACATAACTGAGTACAGCAAGTCAGCAGCGGTGGGAATCCTGGGAAATGGCACTCGGCTGTCCCCAGATTGAGCTGTCATCATTGAGTCTTTAACCTCCTAATTCCCTGGAGGAAAGCTGACACTTCTTCGCTTTGAGGAAAGAGAGAAACAAGGAAGCCCTTCTGATGGAGGGCACAAGACCACCGTCCCTTGAACCACCTAACGCTGCAGCCAGGACGTTACAGCAGGTGTCACAGCCCTATGTGTTCACAAGGAGGCCAAACTGAGGCCCCCAGTGCACGCCACGCCCCTAGTAACAGCAGTAAGTCGGTTCCCTTCTGTGTGCCAGAGCTCTTGGCCACGGTGGAAAGCACTCCCGGCCAGTGCAGGCAGAAGGCTCCACAGACAGCAGCGATGGCAGAGACACTGAACGAGGAGGCAGTCACAACCAACAAACCCCAAACCCGGCGCGTTTTCAGCAGCCCATTAAAATGCCCAATCTTCACATGTGTGTTCCATCACACAACCCAGCACAAGTCTGCTTTTCCTGGAGGGTAGACAGAGCACTCACACGTCCGCAGCTGAGAACACACGCCCAGGGACCAACCGCCTGCGCCGCGCCGCCACCACGCCACCACCTGACACCTGACCTCGACGTGCAGTCCGGGATCCTCCACAGGCAGGGCTGCTCCCGTGGAACTGGACACCCGTCTGTCCTACGTTAACTATCTAATTAGATGCTGCCCCACCTTGTCACCGGCCTGCTCACTCAGCCAGCTGAAACGTTCTGCTAGTGACTATCAGCAGAAGTGAGTCTGTGAGTTCCCAACCCGCTGGTAAGCCCGCTCACACACACAGGTTCACAGTGCTCGGTGCTGCCTAACCACAGGGCAGCCACATCTGCAGTACAGCGCACAGTGGATCTTGTGAAGGCCGCCAGAGGGCCATCAAGGGCAGTCACCCTTCCAGGGCAGGCGCGCAAGCAGATTTCAAGTCCAGTGATCCCAAAACCAAGCCATGAGTCCTGTTCTCAGGGGAGACACGATTTTCTGTTCCCTGGGGTGTCCTCAATGCTGTTTCTTTATGGTCTCAGAAGCCCTGAACAATATTACTTCTGTTTGTAACCAAGATTCATGGCTAACAAACAGTCCTTGTCCAATGAAGCCCAAACCTTTTCCTGAGACTGCTCAGCCAATTACTGGAGTCCACTAAGAAATAACTATAGAAAAAGAAGGCAGTGATGGGAATAATCCCTATCGACTCGTGCTTTGGAATTATATATACTTCCACATGGCTTAGCCTACTAACGGTATCAGGATCAAAAACCAGTGTGCTTTCGGGGTCCACAGGGGCAGATACAAGTGGGAATGCTACCACTATAGTCCACCAGGGCGACAGGAAACAGCAGCCTGGAATTTACGTGTGGCCATATGGACCACACAGGACACACCAGGGCCGGCCACTTCGGTGCCCAGCAAGGAAACCCCGCCTCCCAGAGCAGCCACGCAGACGGCACCGTGCACTTAGCAAAGCACTTCACACACACATGAGCCTAAAATGCTAAGCACGGCCTTCAGGGCCCCCACTTTCTCCTGAGAGGAAGCACTGCTATCTGTACTGTGTTTAACACACACCAACGTTCCCTGTCTTCACCTTTGAGACCCTAAAATTCACCCAGTGTGGCAACAAGAACCACTCCTGAGCTCTCTGGCTGTCTGAGCCTTTAATCAGGAATTCAGGAAACGGGACTGAGAACACACACAACTAGATGCACACAGCAGGCCAAGTAGAGAATAGACGTGACAGTACGGGCTGAGGAACAGCGTGCCGGTTGAGCACGTGAGGCCCTGGCTTTGATCTCCAACCACATGCATACACGCACACACACATGCACATGAGAGGATATTAAGAAGAAAATACATGGGGAAAAAAATCCTTCTACACTGAACTGACAATCTGAAAAACAAAAAAGGCTGGGTGAAGTGGTGTGTGTAATCCCAGCACTTTAGGAGGCTGAGGCAAGAGAATCACACGTGTGAGGCCAGCATGGACAACCTAAATAGGCACCCTCTCAAAAAATGAACAGGTCTGGGGATGTAACTCACCAGGTACAACCCCAGGACTGGAAAAGATTCATGAAAAACCCACCTGGCAGACACGGAATAAACTAGTTCTTGCTACCGTATCAGAACCAAAGCTCCATGGCTGTCTATCCCTCCTCTACTAATGAGAGGGGGCAGGGAGGATCGCCTCTCACCCTCCCTCCCAGGCAGGGGACCCACCTGCATCTGTGTGAAGATCTGCGATTTCTGGCACTCCTCCAGGCTGGGCCCGAATGCGGCCATCACGCGCTCCTCCGTCCCAATCATCTGCACAATTTCCTGGTCACTCTCCACACCCATGGCCTGGAAGGAGAGAAGAGATGGGAGTGGGCTTTGTGCAGAGGCGCTGACATTTGCTTATGCTAATGCGGCATTGTGTATGGGTGCCACTCGTAGGGACTGGTGCCCACACTCAGGAACCGGCCATCTGGCGCTGGCTGCGGGGACCTGGAACAGAGGCGCTGATTAGGAACAGGAAAGCAAACACTCGAGGGCCTTTTCCTTGTGTGCCTGCCGTCTTCTAGAATGTTTGACTATTCTACATTTCATCATGCGCAAAGGAGACCCCGAGGGAGAGCCTGGCCTCGCCAAGCAGAGCAGGAGACAGGAAAGCCAAGGGCGGGAGGGGTCAGCGGACGCCCAAAGGTTTCCTCACAAGCTGAGAAGTGTTGGTCACTCCGATCCCTTCTCAAAGACCCCATGCTGTCCTACCGCACTACTCTAGGGGTACCGAGCCACACTTCACTCAGGGCTTAAGAGGGGTGGAAGACCCGAGAGAGGTCCAGCAACACACGGAGTGTCTCAAGGAGGAAACGTGGCACCTCCTTCAGGCACCAGGCACCAGGCTCACTTCCCCGGCCCTGGAGCGCACTGGTGGCCACCCGGGGCACCCCGTTAAACCTCTCCAAACTGCTTGTTTAAAGTGAGCAGAATTTTAGTGCTGGCATTAAAGTTCCTCCCAGAGTAGACTCAACCAGCAGCTAAAGGTCCAGGCGAGCTTCCTGCTGCCACCCCCAGTGCTCTGTGACGAGAGGACCCAGGGAGCACGGAGCCCCGTCCCAGGACAGGCCACGACGGTCACCCCCTGTAGTCACAGGAGTGGGCCCAGCTCCCAGATCCAGGTCCAGATCCAGGGGCTTGTCCCACCAGAAGGCCGCCCTGGGACAACATGGGTCCTGTGGCTCCCCTCCCTTTGCTTCCCTAGCATGACAGCACAGCTGGCCCCTCCCAGCTCAAAACTTTTATTCCACACAAGTCCTTCCCACGACGGGAGCTCTATGAAGCTGATCTGGATACTTCAGAATCAGATGCAAACTTACTGAAAGTTCTGAAGATTCAGGAGGAAGCTAAGTAGGTGATACATCCCTGCACGTCGTCTGAAAAATACTCACCAATCACTGGACCTTCCTGCCACTGACCACGATCCTAACTCGGTGACTCACTTTTAGGGACAAAGAGCAGGGGTGGCACACAGGGCGCCCGGCCTCCCGCGTGCCTGGGCTGCCCAGTGGGAAGACACTTGAGCCACCCAGGGAGAGCCGGCTACAAGCACAGCCACAGCCAAGGATGCTGTGCTCAGGCCCTCTAGTTCCCATGTAACTCAGCCAGACTGAGACAGAAGTGCAGCCTGCAACCTTCAAATTCCTACCCTATCAGAACTGTGTGATAACTTGTTACACAGCATGCCTGATTAATACAACAATTTCTGGAATCACACTTAGTATTTGAACTTTTAAAAAATTTAATGTGTAATATTATTTGTTCCAGAATAATTTTTTTTACCAAAAAAATCTTTAAGATACAGATCACTTTTTTCTTACATTAATTTTTGCAATCATTTTGCCTCTAATTTGATATCACAGATTTTATTTCAAAGGGTACTAGAAATAAATTCTGTTATCTAAAAATAACCAGATTTTTAAAATACTAAGCATGCCATACACTAAAGGAGAGCAGCTGTAAAACCAGATACAGCAATGCAATGCCCATCATCCCAGCACTCAGAAAGCTGGGGCAGGAGGATCACCACGAATCTGGGGCAGCCTGCTGAAACAGTAAGTTCTAGACCAGACTAGACGATGTACATAGTGAGACTCTATCTCAAAATATCCAAATTAAGAATAAAAAAGGATGGCAACTGTAAAAAAAGAAACAAAATCAGTTCTGTTTTTTAATCGGTACCAGTGATCGGACTCATGACCACACACTTGCAAGGCAGGCTCATATGCCACTGAGCTAAATCCCCAGCCCCAAGTTCTACTTTTTTTAAATGAATGGACAAGGGCCAGGGAGTTAGCTCAGGGCATAAGTGCCTGCCTGGCAAGCTCCAGGTCATACGAGTTTGATTCCTGGTACCAAAAAAATATGAGTGAACAAAAACCAGGCCATTTTGAAGTCCAGCACCCTGGGCCGCATCTACCCTGCATGGTGCTGACACACAGGTGCCATCAGCTCTACCGTCTCCTCTGTCTGCAAGCAGCCAGCCCTCATCGGGACACAGAATTTCTCTACGCGGAAGTCAAAGCTAATGTCCCCTGTCCGGCTCTCAGCATTCCGTGGGTGTCAACGGGATGAAAAGCAACACTGAGTTAACTGAGTTGCCATGGAATCTAACCATGTGTCTCTAACGTCTCAGATAGTAAAACACTTAACCAACGCTCTTCATTTAGAGAAAGCTGGACCCTACCTGAGATCTGTGTGGAGCAGATGCTAACCTGAGCACGCAGGGGGCCACTAGCAAGCACCGCTCGGGGACAGAACAGAATCCTGAGAAATGGCAGCATCTCTGTGCATTAGTTAACATCTATACTATGGGACATGAAAGCCACCTGCATTATTTTAGCAATTTGCATTTCTATAATCCAACTGAAAAAAACGATAAACTTGATTGCTCACTTTATTTTTAATAATAATGAAAATATCCCCCCAGGGGAAACACAGATTGTCACTGTTCTGATGCTGACTCCAAGTAGTAATTGTATAATTGCAAAAAATTGTCCAGTGGTCTAACATGGATCTAAACAGGCTGCACAGGCCCCCAAACACATCTAAGCTATGAGACAGAAGCATGCCAAGCACAAGGTAAATGACACCATGTGTGCAGGAGGCATGGTTACTGCCAGAGCTCTGCTCAGAAGGACTAAACTCTTCCTACACCGGGCACCGGAATACGAGGGCAATAACTCAGTCGCATCCTCCTCAGAAGTGCTCCAGCGCCAAAGACTGAACTGGTTTTACAATTATTCAGCCTTCAGCAGTCCCGGGGACAAATACATGACATATTGCCATGGAAACGAACAAAACGCTCAACCATTTTGCTTTACAGACGTACGTAATTTAGACATCTGAAAACGAGCTTTATGTGGAACTCTTTGTACTCCAGATATCTGAAAGCGTTTCTGCTAATAAGTCAAAAGTCAAAGCTATATAATAACCTTAGGAACAAAGGGCAGAGAGAATGCGTTTTGGCAGAAGGTCCTCCCAGTGTGGCAATCAGCAATAACCCCGAGTGAAATCCAGGGAAGGCACCCTACATACAGCGCCACGGCCTTCTCCTGGATCGCCAAGCAGTGACGCTCAGACAGGAAAAAGAGCACTGATGAGCAAGGGGACGGCGGGGACCCTGACAGTCAGACGCTGGGATACTCGCATGAAAACAGCATGGGGACGTCTGCAAGGCCAACACTGAGCCACAGCGACTCTCTGCACAGGAAACAGAGCCCGCCTCCTCCTCACTGCTCAGAGTGGCCCTGGCAGACACCAAGAGAACCGCGAGGGCCTCTTTGAGTCTGGGGCTTTCTTCTTGAAGATTATAAATTTCCACCGAAGTTGGTGTCCAAGAAACAACACAGCCCTGAAACCATACTCTCCTTCCCACAAAAACTCCCAGCTACAGACGCCGGCACAGTGCAGCTGGGAAGGCTGGAACACAAAACGGGAAGCAGAAGATTCATGGGCAAGAAGCCCTCTGCAGTGATCGAGTCCATAAATAAGGCCGATCTGGGCCCAGCGAGCTTGAGCCGTCATATTCAGACTCAGCGTGTCATCTGGAAACCCTGCTGCTTCTGTCACTTTTAGCCAATTGTTGGTTACAATCAACAACCATCAAGTCCTAATGACTGTCAAGATCTGTGTTAGGGCCACACAACACAAAAAGAGAAACGATGTGCCTGTCCTGCCGCCCAGTTTATCTTCTCCGCTTCGACAGGAAACGCTGTGAGAACTGAGAAAAAGGGAAAGCAGCCTCTTTTGGCCCACTCCATCTCATCTGTGCTCCGCAACCATGCTCCAAGCGAAGTGAAGGGAATTCTCCCTTCGTGGTTGCCTAAGACTCAGGAAACCTGCACCGGGCCCCGAAGCAATCCGCAGAGAAGCCGGGCCTCCACCTGGATCTGATTCTAAGACCCCAGTGCTGTGCACTGCTCCCAGGCGTGAAGTCCTAAAGTGGGCAGTAAACAAGTTCCAGCTGTTGATTAAACACCCCCAAGACTAACAAAGTGACCATGTGGCCAAAACAGTTCATTAACCTGAGCTCAATTTTTTTTAAAAAAATTCATTTAATGTACATATACTACTGGTTGGACTGCAACAGACATATTCTAGAAAAAAACATTTGTACTAAGTGCTTAAAAAGATTCACCTCCGTGAGCAGCACAGAAGTCTCTCGAAACCTCAGCAATGCGTGTGCCCACATATGTATGGGGAGAGTCAGCTGGGGGTACAAATGCAAGCAAAACCTTTGGGGGAAATGACAGCAATTAATGTCCCACTACGGGAAGCTGGTGAGATAAATGCTACCACAAACATGCAATTTCTCTATGATACTCATTAAAAATGGTGATGCACATCCTTATTTAGAGACATGGAAGGTTAGTCATAACTCATTTTTAACTATAAAATAAAACTGCATATTAAAAAATTACAGAAAAGAGAGATCTGGAAAATATATGAAAATGTAGCTACACTTCCCAGTGACTTTCTAAATTTTAAACTATAAGGTCAATTTTATATTCACAAAGTTAAGTTTGAAATCTCAATTACTGGTTATATGAGTATGCAGGTTGTTAATTTACAGCCCACCCTATAACGTGGCTTAGCCATATACATGGATGTATTTATAACATTGCTATTAAACCGACTTGACAGGAGAAACTGCTCATTAAACGTTTGCCACTAGCTGAAAGGGGCACCGGTGTCATGCTCGCCCGCAGCTTGGTATCCTCTTTTGCATGACGGTGAATATTGTATGCGATTTCCGGTGAAGGAAGCAGCGCTGGCCACCTGCGCCTCCAGATGTGCGGGGCTGCACTGCCCCCTGCTGGGGACGCGACGCCGCTCTGCTCTGTGCCCTGAGGCTTTCTCATCACCAAGCAGACAGGCAATGGGGCCCAAGAGCGCCCTAAAGAGCGGGAGAGCCCGGCCTCATTTACGACGCTGCGGGCACCGGGCGGCGGGCTAGCACGGCCGGGCCTGTGCAGCCCCGACCTGAGAGCACGCGGCTCCCGCCGCACTCCCGGAACTCGGCTGGCCCGAGGCCGGGCCAGGGCACAGCCTGGCGGGAGGTCTCGGCCACCTTCCCTGTACCAGGGGGACCCTGTTTTCCCACCGTCACCCAGCTACTGAGCGGGAGCTGTTCATTCTGAAGCTGCTACCCAGCTCGAAATCCTTTGAATTGCCCAGCGTCTCCTCAACCCATGAGCTCCCGCAATTAAACTGTCACCGACCTCACCTTCCACCCCTGTGGCGTGTCATCACCCAGCGCGGGGGCCACCGACCCGGCACCCCAGCCCCGCTGCCCTAGGAGCCCACGCGTGGCATAGCTGAGACACGCCGAGGCACGGTGCCCCTGCCGACCATACGGGCGGGCACACGTGGCTGCCGAACTCGCACTGGACTAGAGGTGAAAAGTGCCCGTCGGTGCCCTCAGCCCGCCCGCACAAGAGCTGAGGACCGCTCTCTGCTCCTCTCCCGGCCCTCGCAGCTCCCCGCGCCGCACCCAGACAGCCGGCCTGCCTTCCGCACTGCGCCTGCGCCGTCTCCTGCAACGCAGACACAGAGCGCTCAGCGCTGGGGGGCGGGAGGGGAGGAGGACCATCCTCCACCCCGACCCGACCTCCGTCCTCCCCACCCTCCTCCCGGACCCTCCTGCCGACCCCGACCCTCCCTCCCGGACCCGCAGGCTCCCGCAGGAGACCGGCTCTGCCTCTGTGAACTCCACGCTCAGGCACAGGGACATGGAGGCTCACTCGGCACCCCAGACCTCTCTGCACTTCCACATTTCTGCCTTTAAAAAAATGGAGAGTTATGTTTAAAGACATAGGAACTTGCATCTCACTATTTTCAGTGTGAAATCCGCCAAGGACTGACGGAGCACCCGTGCCCTAGCCCTTCCATTTCCCGATGAGTCCCTCCCGAAGTGAAGCAGCGGGAGAGCACGGCGCTCACCTTGAAGATGATGGCGATGGGGATGTCCTCAGACAGGGTGTTATGCCTCAGGTAGAAGCGTCCCTGTTTCACAGCCATGCTGGTCCTGCTCTTCTTCTCATGGGTGGAGCTGCAGGGACAGCCAAGCCGGTCAGCACGCGTCCTCGCCAAGGTTCGCGGTTGTGGAGGCTTAGTGGTCAGCAAGGCCCTTTCTAGAACCTGCTCCCAAACACACGCAGTCTCCTGCAGGCTGCTGCCTCCAGCGTGATCTGAGAACACGGTGAGCAGTGACGGCAAAGCGCAGAGCGAGCCTGCCTGCCTGCCTGCCGTCGGCTGGCCACCACCAGGAACCAGGGACCTTGGCTCACACAGCCTCAGTCCCTCCCATGCAGGGCACACACTCCCGGCCAACTCCAACAGGAAACCTCTTCAGCTTTCTAAAGCCCCAGAGCACGCAGCCACGGCTGAAGGCATGTCCACCCGCAACAGCCAGTGCTCGTGAGCCCACCAGGCCGTGGACACGGTCTCACGTAGGAGGAGTAGGCGGACGGACGGCTAATTAAAAGGCACAGAGGACCTGGACACTCCCTGGCCCTCAGGAAGCACCCGTACATGGCCACTATAGTTAGCTGCCTGGCCAGATGGAGGGCGGGACTCCGGCCACAGGTGCGGCCCAGGACACTGGAAGAGAAGCTGTGCGGCCACTTCACCTCACCCAAGCCACACACGCCTGACTGCACATTACTGCTGTACTGACTGCACATGACTGTGTTACCCTGAGTGTCAGGCCGCACCTGTCCAGTACAGCTGTGATTCCTCAAGGTTAAGCAGAACACAGTCTATGTTCACGCTTAAAGACTGGAAAGGAACGTGAAAACCTCAAGGACGCTGTTGTATCTCTTCTTTTTTAAAAGTCCTTTAATGCTACGAATGCATGGAAAATCCAGCTTGAATAACGCCCTGCTCTGCAAAGATGCGATGCACCGCCCCGCATCGCTGCAGCCCAGGAGGCAGCACGCACACGTCGCACACAGACTCGCCCCCCCAGCCGCTGACACTGGAGCCGCAGCGCTCCATACCTGGTCACTGAGGCTCCGACAGCACCTTTTCTGTCCGCCTCCACGATGATCCTGTTCTTGGACAGCTGCTCCTGGATGAGAATAACTTTCTCCACTCCTTTGACAATGAAATAGCCACCTGTCCAAAGGAAACAAGAAAATCCTCACCTCCCGGTCTCGGGCAGTGTGACCGAGGAAAGGTGAGTCCTCCTCAGCAGGTCCCCCACGCTGCTGCTCCATGGCCAACGAACCGGAAGGGCTGCTGACGCCGTGTGGACCAGGGGCGGTACACAGAGGAGCCAGGTGGTGACACCCCTGGGGACACAGGGACCCCTGTCTACACACCACCGACTTCTAACACTGGTCAGTGAAAACACAGGAGTCTTCAGATTTCGTAAGTACAGAAATATGAATGATATTTGACATAAACTAAAATTTGCTCTAAGTTCTCTAACAAATCGGTAGTAAACAGACTAAATTTATGTTTCCGAAAAATATTTTATGTTCAAGCCAGGGATTTAGCTCAAGGCACAGTGTGTGCCTGGCGAGCGTGAGGTCCTGAGTCTGATCCAGGAGCCCCTGAAAATCTATTTTGTGTTCAATAAAACATGTAACAGCATATAATGTTTTGCACAGTTAAGAGATTTCATTTTATCTGTCAAATATACACGGCAATGCATTTGACTCATGAAATACCGTGTTAGAATCTAGTAGAGTTCTTTCTTTACTTCTTCCCCAAACCTTGTAAGACTACATCAGTCTAGTTCTGTGCAAATTAGGTTAACCCAATTAGAACTTAAAGTAAATCAATGTGAAACAAATTAAGGCATTAAGAGAAATGTAAAGTGTTAAGTTTGAAACTTTACAAAAGAAGTTGCCTACAAATAATTATGACAATTTTTAAAAATTTAAACAATAAAAAAGTTTGTTTTTTCTACCTTTATTACATTTAAAACAGCTTGAAATAAGATAAAATCTTCTCAGGCCTAAAAACATTACTGTTAGTTATCACTATTACTATTATTACTATTACTACTACTACTACTATTATTATTTGGTTTTTGAGACAGTCTCACTATGTAGTTCAGGTTGGCCTTGAACTCACTATGTAGCCCAGGCTGGCCTTGAACTTGTGACAGTTCTCCCCTTTCAGCTTCCCAAATGCTGGGATTACAGACATGAGAAACCATACCCAGCTGTTCCTAAATTTTAAGCATAATAAAATACTGAGCAAAGGTAGGAAGAATGTACTAATAAAACACAGCAATAAATCAGAACTTGAGGTACTAAAATTTTAAATCTGAAACAAGGTATTTTTAGGACTAACTGATACATTTGAAGGCAATTTCTGATGTTTTATAAACACAGTTTTATCAATTCATGGAAAGACAGGAGGACAGAACAACAGCATCAGCAGCACAAAGGCCAAGCGGAGAGAGCCGAAGGAAGCACGGACTCACGCAGACCTGGGTCCAGAGGGCACTCGTTCAGCTTGGCGAACTCGGCCGGCGTCTTCCCCGTGAGGACACAGTTGGAGCTTCGGAGCATTATGGGCATCCTGCTCACACGGAGCACCAGGAACAGAGGGAGAGCGACACCTCAGCATAGCGCAGTGGCGGACGCACACTGGGGGCCGGAGATCCGGAACCCAGCCCGGGGAGGGCTGGCCTCAAATTCATGGCGGTTCTCCTGCCTCAGTCCCCCGAGTGCTGAGATTACAGGGGTGCACCACTACGCCCAGCTGCCACAACTTTACAGACACAGATCCACAGTAACAATAGGTAGGACTCTGCTGGACAACGCCGTGTCTTCCCCAGGCTGACCCGCACGATGTGTAAATGACCCACAAACAGTGTCCATTCCCCCATCCCACGGGACCGTGCTCACAGGCACAGCACAGGGCTGGACTCTGGCCCAACTGCACGCCTCACCTGCCGATGGGCAGGGCGTTGCGAATGATCCTCTGGCTGCCTCGGGTGTACTCGATGTCCACTGTGATGGGGGCGGAGTACGTCATGTCCCTCAGGCGGCACTGGAAAAGAGTCGCACAGTGACCGAGGGCCTGGCTGTCAGAGCGCAGACTGCAGGAAAGGGCGCAGGTGCTGCACTCTGACCCCCGGCCCAGCTTCTGGGTGCCGCTGCGGGTGCTGGGAGTCCTCACCCCTGTTCTCCTGGAGCAGAAGACTTCTCGTGTTGGTCCAGACTCTAGACTGCCACAGGACCCTCGACCCCACCTACCAGGGACAGTGCTGACAAGCCCAGGGCCGATGCTTTCCTTACGGACCCAGAGCCATCAGCTCCCAGCCCTGTAAAGCAGTCAGCCTGTTCCCTGGCAAGGCAGTCCTTGGGAAGTAATGCATGGGGCTGGACGGGTTGCTCAGAGGGGGTTCAGCAGAGCAGGAATAACTAGAGCACACCCAAGAACACAAATCCAAACCACACCTGCTTTCATTCCATACATGCACTACACCGTATTACAAAGCTCCTCACCCAGTACGAACCATGCATCTGCTTGGAGGCTGCCTATCCCGATACCCCACCGCTGGGGACCGTGATCCCAGGACCCCCAGTCCGTCCAGCCCCTTCACGTGTCCGCTTGTCTCGTTAAGCACTCACGTTTGCACCCAGTGTCTGTTCCACATCTGCATATTTTACTTTCTTCACAGGAGATGGCACTCCTTGGGGAAGGACATTGTCTCATCTCGTTTCAATGTCAGGACACTAAACGTTCACTACGTGCTTAGTGTCTAAATAACACCAGGATGAGTACTGTAAACACAGCACTACTAATAAAAGTAAAACTTTATCTACGTAAACCGTCTGATACATGACCACAGCCCTTATTTTACTTAGGCAGTGACCACAACGCTGGACACTTGCTGAAGGACAAGCACATCCCCTGTACACTCCCTAACTGTATTTCAGTTTCACCTGAACTTCACAAACCAGATGAATCTACACGATTCTGGTCCCTCCCGAATCAATTCCCAGTTATGAACACAAAGTGGAAGACTTGAAGGGAAAGCCAGAATCTGCTTTCAGCCAATCTGAAGGCCCACCTGGTCCACAGCTCCGTCCAGACCCTGTGTGTCCCTCCTTCCCGGCACCCTGCAGGCCAAGCTCCCCCTCCCTTGCCTCCTGCACGGTCGGTGCCTGGCCAACCCCAGAGCATTGGCCAGTGACCCTCACAGAGTGGGGCCGGCAGCCGGGGCGGGCTACTGAGCAGTCTGGATTTCCAGACACCAACAAGTATGCTCATGAGCACTGAACCAGCGACGCAACAGCGTGCCAGCGTCTTCCAAGGGAGTGCACAACAGCACTCGGCACTCAGCTCCAAAACGCATGCAAGCCGAGCGTTTCCAGCTGTGTCATTATTGACATTCTGAACTGTTTGCAGACGTCGCCAGGTAAGCACTGGCACGCCCCATTCGGAGGCAGCCAGGTTTGGGATTTATGGTTTGTCACACAAGTGCTTGTTAACTTTTGATGGGCTTGTTTTCAAAGAGTTCTTTTTTAATCACCTGTTTTCAACGCTCTCGTGGGAGCACGCATTATGGTCTGCAATTACCTCGTGAGGGGACACAGGTCTAGTTACATTGAAGCTTTCTTCAACATCAGGAAGCCCAACGTAGATATTCAGGTATCTGAAAAGCAAAGGACAGCATGACCCATGACACGCCTGCAAAGAACATAGACACAAACAAGCATCTCTCAAATACGCTAGCAAATGCTTACTTTACCAAGGACAACAGATTAAAAAGGATGGCTGGGTATCTTCTTGAAATGTTAGTGTAATTTTACAAATAGGAGAAAACATTATTAAAGTATCCTTTTGAAAATACTGTAAATCTCCTAGAAAGACAGCTCCTAAAATGATCTGTAATGAGAAACGCAGAGTGCGCCTGTGTGCTGGCACCCGAGGAAGGAGGACTAGGAGGTGAGAAGGGAACGAAGTGCTCGCTGGGGCAAAAAGCCACAGGGGACAAAGGAGGAGCAGACACACCGGGGACGCACAGGGATGGGTGGGAAGAGCTGAGAGACAAGCCACCCTCTTCTGAGGGAACTTGGTTGTATAACCCTGACTCTTAAGACAGAAACTGTTTCGCATGACCTGAAAACATGCATAATTAAAATCTACCAGCACGGGGCTGGGGATTTAGCTCAGCGGCATAAGCGCCTGCCTTGCTAGCAGGCAGCTGTGAGTTCGATCCCCGGTACCGATAAAAAGGAAAAATCTACCAGCACGTAGGGAACCCAACATGGAACACAAACCTTACTACATTAAAAGAGAAACAAAACTGTACCAAAAAGGCGAGAGGGAAAGGAACTGGTACACACCTGCCACCCCAGTAATCTGGGAAGCTGAGGCAGGAGGATCACAGGTTCAAGCCTGGCCGGGGCAACTTAGCAACCTAGTAACTTAGGGAAGCCCAGCCCCAAAATAAGGATTTGAAAAAGAATAGCTGAGGATTGTTATGGCTGGGCTCTAATCGTCTCCCCAAAGTCTCGTGCACTTTCAGATGGAGCTTTTTCAGAGGAGCTGAATCCAGAGCATGTGATAAATTTGTAGAGCAAGGCTAGAATTAAGGGTGCAGGGATTCAGGGTGTGAGCGCTACTCCGGCCCTGGGTCAGACAGCCTGCATAAATATCAGGGGCAGAGAGACTTGCCCTCTCCCGTGCTCTGTTGCTTTTCCTGGCTTCTACAGCCTGAACTACTGCCCCTCCGCCATGTGCCACCCTGCCTAAGAACCAGCCACCTGTGGACTGAACCTCATTAAACTGAGCTAAACAACCGTTTCCTCCTCTACCTCCGGACATCGGCAACAAGAGGAAAGTGACTAAGACAAGGAAGGCTGTGGTGGAGGGTGAGGCCCGGGTTCGGCTCTCAGTGCTGGAAGAGGGCACACATGGGTACTGTACACCGTAGCGTGACCACCACTCTCAGAGGAGTGTGCCAAGGATCTGCAGTTCTGCACAGGGTGGGGCTGAAAAACTAAAAAGGTGACTGCAGATTTCTCACTCTTGTGGACAAAGATGGTGACGGTGACTCTGCGGTGCTGGAACAGGACAGAGAAACACAGGTGTGTATGTGCACACGTTTCAGGACACATACGTGCATTCCACCCCTGGAGTTCATGTACGGATTAATAAGTAAATTAAAAAACAAGGACCTAGGGCTCCCGGGACAAACGCTGACTCCCAGCCTGGGCAGAGCGAATGCCGGCTGGCAACCGCTGCTCCCCGGAGGAGGAGGAACTGAAGAAGAATGGGGCTGTGGAGAGGACACAGGTGGCCCCTGAGGATCCACCATGGCCAAAGTCAAGGGCGTCCAGGAGCGCAAGAGCACGGGCACCAGGTTATAACCAGTGCACCAAATAAACACCCACGCGCCCAAACCTCAACCAGAGAACGTACGGGAGATAAACTCAGGGATGGAAAGGGCTCCGAGCAGGAGGAGGGCCGGGGCAGAGCCAGTGGTGCACCAGTGCCGGCCGCATGCTCGCTCGATCGCTCGCTCACACACACGCTCACAGACACACACACACACCCCTCCCCGGTGGGGGGCGCGCAGGGCAGCTGACAAGGGCACTGTGAGGCGAGCGCCAGGGCTCCGGACCGCAGAGACTGAGAAGCCAGGGCACTGACCCACCCTAGGAGGACGATGGGCATGGGTGCAAACACCGGCCAAGGGCTGGACGCGCTGGGAGGGGGCAGCCGCTCCAGCTTCCCCTGGCACAGCACACTCAGCACAGACCGGGAGCGCGCGTGGGGACTCTGCTGCTTTTGCAAGTTTTGTGTGAGTCTAAAATTACTGTAAGTAACAGCTTGCTTAACACAGTTACAACCTGAGGGTTTAACCTGTCACACCTCTACTTCTCAGTTTGCCAATTAAACACTAAGCCTGCGCACTTTACAATGCCCTACTGAAGAGATGCAAGAGAACCCTTCAGTAACAGATCAGAGAGCTGAGCACAGCAGGGCAGGAAGCAGAGCAGCCGGTCCCTTCCTTACTTTAAATACCACATCGGGTCGGCGTCGCTCGTGACCTTCTCATTGGCCTTCATGATCTTCTTTATCTGTCGGGGAGGAGCGCGGGACAAAGTGAGCAACCCGCTCCGCGCGCTCCACTGCACCCCAGCCCGCGCCAGCCCTGCGCTCACCTCCACGTTGATGAAGTAGTTAAAGGAGTCTATGTGCTGCTTCACGAGGCCCTTCACCTAAACACAGAATGGCAACGCATCACTCCCACGAACCTCAGGGCTCCATCACATTTGCCCAAAACCCAAGTGACACCAAGGTCCACAGATCCCATGCCACACAGAGCTTCCTTTGTGTGCCTCGCTCCAGGCCCCACCATCGGCCTCACACTGCAGTTTCCCCCGAAGCGACCAGGCCTTGGTGACTTCACACACTAGGATATATACACCTATGCACTCTCCAACAAGCTACCGGATCCAAGCAAAAGATCCGGCGGCTGGGGTGGTGCACAGCCTGCAATCCAGCAGTCAGAGGCCGAGGCAGGGTTTCCGCCTCCCGCTGTCTCATGCTGGGCTGCGGGCAGCAGCTCAGGGGTACAGCACCTGCCTGGCATGCGAGAGGGCCCAGGTTCCACCCCCAGCATCGCCACGGAAGGAAGGAAGGAAGGAAAGAAGGAAGGAAGGAAGGAAGGAAGGGAGGAAGGGTGACAGCAAAGGACACGGCGGAGGGCACTGCTGTGAACACTTCCACCCAGGTTTCGCCCAGGCAGTTTCATTAACCTGAGGAGACATCAGGGTGTCTACGACCATCTGAGGAGCTGCCAGCTGCTTTCCACCGTCACCAGCGGAACACGGTCATCACTGGCTTCTCCATTACAGCCTCTAGCGGATCCCAAGCACCTCACCACTCGCACAAGCTCTGTAAGGTGCAGCCCTCCCACAGCACAGCACGGTGGACTCAGCACAGTGGACTCAGCGGCTGCTGACCAAGCTCCCACCTACTCCCGCAGGCTGACCAGAGGGCACCTGGCCTGGGGGCACCTTCTCCAGCCCCGCAGCACCGGCTGACGCCAAGGCGTTGGTTATCCATGCACTGAGCCTCAAGGCTTGCTCTCCCTAAAGGACAACCCACCTGCTGGCCCTAGCTGCCAAAAGCTAGCAAAGTCCACAAATCCATGAAGTTGGCCAGAGATAAAAATTCAAACTTACAAAGTCTATCTGGTGACTTTTATCCTATGAAAAACAATTATTGCACATTAAACACTTACCTTTAAAAATGCTGGAAGCAGCCTCCATTTTTCCTGTGAATCAACAAGAAAAATATCAGAACCCTGTGCCAGCAGGGATGACACCCTCTAAGGAGTTATAGTGACACATCAAAACTGACTGCGTCACAATGAACAAAAAAGGTGAAGTAAAAACAGAATAGTCTGAAACTGTAATTACCTAAAAACAATCGTATACTATGCGCATGCAGATACTATAAGCACACGGAAAAATATGTCAGTCTTCCTGCCGAAGCTGAGCCCAAACCTGGGCGTCAGGCACGGAGCCCCGGGCTTCTCTCAACTCTCACGGCTCTTCCTGAGTAAGTGGGTTTCTCAGTTATTCTTTATTGCCGGGACAAAATACTCCGCCCATACACGGCCCAGGGCTCCGGCTGCAGAAACTCAAGGACACTGGGTCTGAACAGGAGTCCCAGGCGGGCAGCACCGGAAACCAGGGGAAGGTCAGCAAATGGAGGGTAACAAGGCCGCATGAGGGCGAGACCACCTAAGAAGCACCAATGGAGGAGAAATGAGACAGCGGAGCCCACCCCCCATCCAGCGGTGAGGAGGGGGATGAGGATGGCCAGGGGTGGAGAGCATAGTTTCCAGACTAGTCAGGCAGACCAGGCTATGAAGACAGAAATCAAACTGCAGCTGGGGTGGGCAAACAACTGTAAAGGGTCACACCAGCAGCCAGGTGTGGCGGTGCACCCTACAATCCCAGCACGTGGAAAGCGGAGGCAGGAGGAGCTCCACCAGGTCAAATCCAACCTGGGCTACGTACTGAGTTCAAGGCCAGCCTGAACTGCGCAGTGAGACACTGTCTCCGTAAGGGTGGGGTGTGTCACGTGAGAACTTCCCCGGTGATGGAAATGTCCTATAGCGCGCAGCAGTGACAATCGCGGGTAGATGAATGTACTTCGCTATGTTTATTCCCGTTTGGAACCCCTCAGGTCATCGTGAACTGCAGTCAGCCTGCTGTGCCGTCAACAGCAGAAGCGTCACTTCTGTCCCTGCCGTTGGTTTCTGCCATGCTGTCAGAGGTCAGCCCTGCTGCCTTGCAACTAAGCCAGGTTGTATTTTGTCCCAGGCAGTACTGGGGACTGAACCCAGGCCCCGCACAGGCTGGCTCCAGGCCTGATGCCCAGGTGTGGGGCTCCTCACCCCACTCCCTCTGTCCTACCGTCCTCCTTGGTGACCAGCAATCAGCAGCACCTGCCTATGCAGGCAGAGGGAGCCAGAGGCCTCTGGTCCCGCGGGCTCACTCACAGGGCTGAGCCCACTCCATCACAAGTTCACTCAGGCTCTCTCCTGATCCCCTGGTGGTCCAGCCCTGCTGCCGCTCTCCTCAGGAAGGCCCCTGGGATACCACCGCAGCTCCTCCCGGCCCATTCCTCCCTCCGTGCTCACTGCCCTTCTCTCTCTGCTGACCTCAGCCGCTCCCGCACAACAGCCTCTGCGCCCACTCAGCCCAGGGTCCTGCCCCACTGCCTTGTAATTCCTCCAGCACACGCCACTGCTCAGACCTCTCTCCTGCAGCCTCCTCACTGCAGGAGGCAGGGAACAAGGTTTGTACAACCCCAGGAGCAACCTGGTGTGGTGGCCCTTGATGGTAATCCCAGCCCTCAGGAGGCTGAGGCAGGAGGATTGAAAGTCCAGCCTGGCTACTTAGTGAGACTCTGTCTCAAATAAAAAATTAGGAGCTGAGGATATAGCTCAGATGCATCAGCGCCTGCCTGACAAGTGCTGGGTCCTGAGTTTGAGTCCCAGGACCAAAAAATAAATAAAAATTAAAAGGGCTGGACATGTGGCTCATTTTGAAGGTCCTGGATTCAATCCCCAGTGCAGTCACACAAAAAAAGAAAAAGAATCCTGTTACTGATATACCAAAATAACAGCAGTACTATTTAACAAATACATGATTAAATGGCTCCAAAACTTGTTATTTCTCCTGCCAAGATACCATGCTGTGACACAAGAAAAACATACTCCAGTGACAACTCAAGTAAAACTGAGTTCTTAGTTAAAAAGTCACAGAACACTGGTTGGAAAGGTGAAGCCAAGAAACATTTTAATCTCTTATTTAAAGGGAAATGGCATTTTTCACTCAGAGAAAACTTAGGATTGCCAAGAAAATTTTCTAGTACAGTACTGTTCAGATTAACCTGTTGGTTCAACGTGAAATTGTAATGTTATTTCACAAAAAGAAGACTGCACACCTCTGTCTGCTGAGGGGGGGGGGGGGAATGCAAAGTGAATACTCAGCTAAGAAATGAAGACCAGCTGGGCACAGCACCTATACTCCCAGCACTGGAGTTCCAGGCCAGACGGGGTGCTTAATGAGTTCAAGGTCAGCGTGAACCATATAGCAAGACCCTGTCTCAAAAAACAAAAACTAAAACAAAGCAAAAAAAAGAACGGAAGACATAGCAGAGAGCAAGACAGCAGAGTAACTACCAATGTTAAAAGTCAGAGCAGTCAAGCATGGTAATACATGTTTGCAATCCCTGTTACTCAGGAGGCTGAGGCAGAAGTCCTAATTCAAAACTAGCTGGGGCGACTTAGTGACTCTGTCCCAAAGTTTCAGAAGTCGGCTAGGGTAGAGCATTCACGCAGCGTGCACAAGGCCAGGGGCCAGTTCTCAGTATCCCAAAACAATGAGAGGAAAAAGGATACAACGGCAGGGGTAGAAAGGAGGCCTCGCCTCCTAGGAGAATCAGGGAAAGCCTTCCTAAAGAAGTCACACCACAGATATGCAGAATTTATTCTACAAAGAGGAATGGGGAAAATCCAGAAGAAACTGTGCCCAGAGTAGAAAAGCTCAAGGCGGCAGAGGCTGGAAAGTATGCAGGGCCAGGCAGGGGAGATGAGGGCTTTCTCTGCCCTATGCGAAGGCGCAGAGAGCAAAGGGTCTACAGAGAGCACCACAGCTACCTTCCCAGCTAGACTGACGGCTCTGGGCACAGAGCAGACAGTGAGCGCCAGGTGGCCCGGGAGCCCCCAGAGAGGCCACAGAGGGTCCTCACTGGAGAGAAGCAGGAAGGAACTCTGGATCCGTGTGTATGTCGAAGGCAGGACCCCGACTGTGGATGCAGAGGACCAGGAAAAGGAACGCTGTTTCTGAACAGAACTGTGGCTCTACTTTCTTCACAGCCGGCCAGGTTCAGACAGAAGTGTCCGTCTTCTCGGCTCAGTTCTGCAGTTTGGAGAATCAGTCTAGCCAGCAGTTAAGTATGAAGGCTCTGGTGGAGTCTGGCTAACAAAATCCAAATTCTAGCTACAGCAGCCATTCACCAGCCTTTCAGCACTTGACTAGTTCACCACCACGACCCTCCAGCCAAAAGAAAATGAAAAAGATGTTTATTTCAGAAGATTAAATAACAAACGCATGTTATAGCTAAACAGCCCAGCACAGAGTAGGCGTTTAACGATGCTAACTCTTGATATTAACCTTCCAAGGTAAAACCTAGAGCTGCCTGCATTGACCTGCAGGCACTCAGACTGGATCTGATCTTCCTAAGGCTGCAGACACTCAGGAGAAAGTTCTTAATCCAGTCTCTAGTCAAGTCTCTCTTCCTTTTAGAAGCATCTCCATGTCCTGAGGGAAAAGGTCAGACTCCTTCAGGTGTCTAACAAAACAGTTTATAGCCAGGGCTTCACCCATCCTTCATCCTTGATTCCCTCCTCTCTTTCCCGGCACTCTAGGACATCCTAGGTGTTTCAGAGCCTCAGAAGCACCTGATCGCGTCGCCGCGGAGTTCAATACCCCAATCTTTCCACTCGAAACCCTCTGCCCTGGTCTTCTCCAACTTTCCCCACATTCCCTTCCATGCCAACGCTGACTCCCAGGCTCAGAAAGGATTTGTGTCTTTCCAGAAAAAGTGTCAACAGCGGCACTTCTCTGGGCAGCTTACGATAGGCTAGCTATCCTTAATTTCTGTGTGCCTGATGAAGTTACAGGACGTCTTGGTCAGAAAACAGGGAAATTTGGGGATAAATACCCAGGCTGTCACACATGCCTGCAATATAAACATGGACTTCTGGTTAAAAGGAGCGATTGCTGGCCTTTTCCCTCATATCTCGCTGCAGGACTTAAGAAAGTGGCTTAACCTCCCCGGACCTCGGGGTCCTCTAAGAGACCGAGATGATGTAACTCGCCCCCACGGTGAGTGCGAGAGTCGGCCTCCGCCGTGCACGCCTGGACAAAAAAAGTGGTTCCACCCGGCTCTTGTCCACTGACAGCTTCTCCGGGACCTTTCCACGTGCACGCGGACGCCGCAGCGCAAAAAGACTCACAGGCGCGGGGATCTGAGCATGCGCCGAAGCTCTGAGCACGCGCAGAAGGCGAGGCCCGCCCCTCCTCCCGATCCACGTTCTCCAGTCAACGCCTCCCCAGACGCCTCGCGGCCCCTTCCTTCCGCTCCCGGCGCCCCGACGCTCTCACCTCTACAGTGGAGATCGGCGCAGCTAGCTGCTCCGGGGTCAGGGTCCCAAACTCCTCCGCTAGCACGTCCATGCCGCTCACGACCAAGGAAGCAGCAGGCAGAACCTCCGCGTCTGCCTTCGCGGTCTGAGCGAACGGCAGCACGCCAGGAGAGCGGTGTGCGACAGCTAAATTGTCCCCGCCGCGCGTGTGGGCTGCAGGCGCGACGGGAAGGTTCCGCCTGCTTCCGGGCCTACCTCGCCCTGGGACCGGAAGTGGCCGAGTTAGGCACGTGCGCCCCCTGGCGTAGAGCGCGCGGGTAATCCCAGGCCCGACCGACGGGTTTCCTGCGGGTCTCGCTGCAGTCCTGGGGCCCAGGGAAGCACGGAGGTGCGAATTTTAAAAGTAATCGGAAGGAAAATGTGCTCGGGGAGCTTGCGCCAGGGGTACCCGCGAGGCACAGACTCGTGTGAGTCAGCTCAGAACTACACGTGATAAGCGGAAAACCGACGTGCAAGAAGCCTAGGGATGGGCGGATTAAATTAGTGAGGCTGCTGCACGCCTGCAATACCGGCCTTGGAAGGCTGAGGCAGGAGGATTGCCGTGAGTTAAAGGGCAGCCTGGAATACGTAGCGAGACCCTGTGTCAGCACAGTGAGGGCAGCGGTTGTGATGGACTCCTGCATACCATCAGAATAACCATGGAGTGGGGAGGGCTGAAGGCCACCTACGAGGACAGCTTCCCGACGAACTGATGCGAACTCTGGGATGAAATCACTAGCACACCAATAAGTTCCGTGTGAGAAGGGGACATTTAAATCGGTGAGGGAATCTAATACATAATGCTGGGACGGCTGGTTGGCCATTTGGGAGGGAGCTACCCCATGGAAAATGCCTGTATTGGTGAGGGGCAGGCACACGCCTGGAGTCCCAGTCACTCTGGGGCCGAGGCAGGAGGATCGCAAACTCCAGCCCGGCCTGAGTGTTCTGGCGGGACCGATCCTGTCTCAAAACAAAACACAGAACAGGCCGAGGTGAAGCACAGTGTTGGAGGCCTTGCTTAGCAAGGCCGTTTGTTCAACCCAGGTACGCAGGGAAAAAGTTCTATAGGGATTAAACATTTCAACAGTAACAAAATCTTAAGAAAAGGAGAAAGGTGAGAGTAATCCTAACACCGAGTTGGTGAAGGACTTTATGGTGATGACACAGAAATCATAAAGAGTTTGATAATAGGATTCTATGTGTGGTATATGATCCCGTGGAAAGTTTTGAATTTTCTGAATCGGTTGTTAAAAAGTCTGAAAACTAGATGGTGATTCACAGTGTAGGCCTGGCTCTGGGGGAGTTGACGCAGCAGGACAGCAAGATAAGGTGAGCCTGAGCAATTTCTCACAAGCGTCTCAGAACAAAAAGGGCGAGGCCTGGTGCGGTGGTGCGCTCCGATCAGGAGACCAGGGCAGGGCCACAGGGCACGGCCAGTGGTGGCGCGGCTACACGGGGCACTCGCCAGGGAAGCGTGTGCTGCTGACGGTGGACGGCTCAGTGCTGGGCTCCGCGGGCCTTCAGGACGAGTTAGAAAACGGTGCTCCCCGCCCCGCCCGGCCAGGCCGACTCCTCGGCATCTAAGTGGAAGCCAAGCCGTACCGCACCGCACTGCGCCAGGCCGCTGGTCACCTCCCCGCGCCTTGCTCCCGGCCCCCTTGCAGCACCGGTGCATGCACGGGTCCCTGCAGGTCCCACGGGACACACTGTAGTGTTCACACCAACCGGAAGAGTTCATTGCCGGGCAACCCCTACCTGGCACAGGCCTCCCTTGTGATTCAGAGACCCAGTGCTCTTTGCCCTGGCTCCTCCACCTACAGCCTGGGCCCAGACCCTGTGCCCCGGCGCTCGGCCTGCTGGGCCCCCTTCGTCGCCCTTTGGCCCACTCCAGTGCACCCCTTGTGTTTTAGTGCCAGAAATATCTTCCTCTTGAAATCGGTGATGCTTTCTTTCCCCCAGCACCAGTCCTGCGTGCTTTATAATGGTTGTTACAGTTTACTGTCACTATGCACAATTTTGTCCTTTTTGCTTGATTGTAAACTCAAGGACAGAGTCTCTAACCATCTATATATCACAGCTGGGATACTTCTTGGCACGACGTACGCGCTTCACAGATGACTGTCAGCTGAATGAAGGCAGGAAGGAGGGGGCGTGGCTTTGACGCCTAAGAACCACTCCAGGACCCTGTGGCAAACCACAGTAACCGCAGGTTTGCCATCCCCATTCCAGAATGAGTGCCATCAATCGTCCACCCCCAGGTTGCCCAAAGGTTCCCAACAGAGATACCGACCACCTTGAAAATGTTTTTATTTTAAAATTTAGTGCACACAATACATGCTTTAACCAGAAGATAAAAATGTGTGTATGGTATTTAATAAAGTTTACATTACAAAACAAGACCACATTAGGGAAAGAAACATCCAAAGTAGAAGTGAAAGTAAAAACTAAAACACGCTGAACATAGGATTTAAAAATCCTCATACAGCCGGGGATTTAGCTCGGCGGCGTAAGCGCCTGCCTGGCAAGTGCGAGGTCGCGAGTTTGATCCCCAGTTCCAAAAAGAAAAGAATCCTCATACATGTAGTTTCCTAAATCCAGACTGGAAACACGTTTTGCCACTTAAAAAAAAAAACTGAATGCCCTTCATTTTAAGCACACTTTTTAAAAAACCCAGTTTGCACACTGCTTTCCTGCGGGCAGCTGCAGGGTAATCAAGTATATCAGTAGGATCCACTGGATTCTGAGCTGGTGACGAGAGGCTACACCAGCTGCTAAGCACACAGGTCACCTCGGACAGCGCCAGCAGAAGACCACACAGGTGTGCCTCGCCTGTCCAGCCGGGCAGGGCATCCCTCCCCAAGCCCCAGGATGCAGACTGAGAGCCAGTGGCCTGAGGGAGGGTGCAGCCAAAGCCTCTAGCCCAGGTGGGACCCCAGGAGGGGGCGCAGTGCTCTCCAGTGAGCCCACACAGCTGCTCCTGTGGACAGTACTGAGCACTGGGGGTGGGGAGATATTGAAATTCATGATTTCCTGAAAATTTGGCAGGTCCTCCAAAATGCAAAAATGCGACTTTACCACCTGAAACAATGAATTAGCACCGTCGTGGAGGTGGGAAGAAAAACTAGTGTCCTGATTTTAGTTCCTAGCCACCCTCCTCCACCAACTGACCGATGGTCCCGGATCCTTGGGAAGCAAACAACCCCAAGTGTGTTTAAGCAGCTAAAGCGCTTTACAGATCGAGGGCACCAGGCTGGGATTTAACAACAGCAAGCCAAGAGTCCACTCAGAAGAGCAGGGTGGTCACAGCAGGGTCAGGATTCGGGCTTTGCTCAGCACAAAAGGCATTTGCAAGTTCGGTTACATGGTTAAGATACCCAAGGTTTGATGTGTGTGTGTGTGTGTGTGTGTGTGTGTGTGTGTGTGTGTGTGTGTGTATTTTGGTCTGGGTTTTTTTTTTTTTTCTTTTTTTTGTAGCCCAGGCTGGCCTTGAACTCTAGGGGCTCCTCCTGCCTCAGCCTCCGGCGTGCTAGAGCACCTGGCTGTGCTTTGTTTTCTTTTCAGAGGGGAACTTTGTGGGAAATAGGACCTCATTTTATTGTGAGTTTCCCTTCTTACAAAGAAACCAATTCAAACCAGCCGCGCCTTACATAAAAGTATTAAAAATTCTATAAGTCTTATATGCAAGGACGTTCACTAAGAGATCCATGCAAACTCTGCTGCTTTTGAAAGACAGGTTATTTGTACAAAAGCAAAACCTGTAGAATACAATTTTAGAAGGAAAGCATTTGTTTCTACATTTCACTAAACAACACAGGTTTTATTTAAATCTTGTACATGGCATTAAAAATGTACTTCATAAACTTCTAAATAAATGTTGATAATTGGTATTATAAAATGGGATTTGGTGCCTTTATGGAACTTGAGGACTTACTATGTAAGTTTCTGTTACACATTAATAAAATATAATTGTAAGTTTTAGATGCAAAGACACGTCCTTCACATCAATCCTGGAGTTGTTCTCACAACTTTCCTTCCCTTTCTTTCTTTTTTGTTTTTGTTTTTGTTTTTGGAGACGGGGTCTCACTATGTAGTTCAGGCTGGCCTTGACCTCATCTGCAGCCATGCTGCCTTCTAACGTGCGGCAGTCCTCCTGCCTCAGCTTCCAAGATGCTGGGCTTCCAGGTGGGTGCCACTAGGCCCGGCTTCCAGCCTTTCAAGTTCAAAGTCATTTCATGTGAGTAGGAAGAAATGAGGAAAACAACGCCTTGCAGGCTGCAAGTGTAAGCCAAATACAAATGTTTAAGAAAATCCAAGTATTAGGTAGGCACTGTAATTACAGATGCCTTTCAGTTTGTTAAAAATGTCTGTTTTAAACTTGAGAATGACGTGCAAATGGTGTCTGTGTGACCTGGCGCTGCCTTGTGACCCTAACATTGCCATAGCACCCTTCCCATGCCCGCGCCAAGACAGTACCGAGACCAGGCTGCGTCTGTGATGCCACCACTGACGTGATGGGGCCGCCACCCTCGCCCCGGCGTCAGCCCCACTTCAGTTGGCCGGAAGTGAGGCGTCCGCCCCCCGGCTGGCCTCCTCCCCGAAGAGCAGCTTGCGAAGGATGCTCGCGTAGAATGGTCCGTACACCTGCATGTTGAGGTTCACGATGTTCAAGTACTGAGTCCCCAGGGCTTCCAGCTCCTCCCGAATGACGTCCAGGCCTCTAGGGATGGGCGGCAGGGACTTGGGGGGACTAGGAAGGCCAAGGAGGCTTTTCATGTAGACCTGGACTCGTTTATCTGCAGGAGAAAGTATTAAATACACGATGTCAAAAAGCAAATTCAAGTCATTAGAGCAAGCTGACTACAAGGATGGTCCCACTTCCTGAGCCCTCCCTGCTCCCGTCCTCCCTCTCTGCCCACTTCCACCGTGTTCGCTGGTGGAGCGCCAGTGGGGGTGACGGGCTCTTTCGGCTGGCCCCACCCCAGATCCACACACCATCAGCCAATCTCCACACACCCACAAGAGCCAAGGTCGGGATACTCAGGGCCACAACCCCGGTGGGGCCACCGTCAACCACAGGTGCAAAAGAAAGTCTACCAACACCAAAAAAATTCCTACTACACCCACAGGCTTGCAAGGAGCACCAGATGGTTTGTTTTTAAAATTCCAGCATGTGGGGGATGCTTGTTACACAGCATCAGCCGCCTGAGAACCAACACAGAGCCCTTGTGAGAACTCTCCCATGAGTCATCCTTAATATCACAACCCATGGTGTTGTCAGTTTGTATGCGACTGAGTCTATACGTGTGTGGTGGTGTTCGAAAACAGAAGCCTCGTAAAAATCAGAGAGCTTCACACAGAAACCCAAGTGTTTGCTCTTTATGAGAAAACTAGAGATCTGGCAAATCCAGGCAGTGGGGTCCAAACCACGAGCAAGGCGACCACTCAGCTGGGTTTCCTCGTGGTTGAAGTTCCTGCCTGTTGTCCTAATGGGACGGGAAGTGGCACCATGATCCTGCCTGTAGCCACACTGCAGCCTGGGCTTCCGGGGACCAGATCTGCTGAAACACTAACCTTGAATGCCTCTCCCAGAGACTGCACACATGGAGCAGGGAGGCTGGGCTCCTCCCCAAGACTGCTGCCTCCCATCTCCCTTCCCTGAGTCGGACACCCTCAGGGGTGTCTTTCTTTCTGCAGTTCTGGGGCAGCCATGAGCAGACCGAGAGCCCCAGGCCTGCTGTGTAGACAGTGCGCTCTTGGGTGGGAACACGGTTCACGAAGGGAGGCATCGGCCAGAAACAAGGGGGCGGAGAAGATGAGGAGTGGAGAGGCCACAGGCGGCTTAGGCCCAGCTGGGAGGTTTCAACCAGAAGAAACCAGTCATGTCACCGGGACGGCCAAAATGGGTTCACAAAAAATGCGGACAGTAGCCGGGCCTGGTGGCTCATACCTGTAATGTCAGCACTGGGGAGACTGAGGCGGGAGGATCGCTATGAGTTCAAGGCCAGCCTGAACTTCATAGCAAGACTCTGTCTAAATAAATAAATAAATAGTGGGGACAGCCTTGGGTGCGCAAGGAATCTGTACAGCAGGTCATCCGTAAGTAATTTTTACCTGGCTCATATGTACATGTGGAAAAAATCGTTTTCTAATTGTCTTGTTTTGCTTTTTGAGGCAGGGTCTCACTGTGTGGTATAAGCTGGTCTTGAGCTCCCTGTGTAGCCCAGATAAGTAAACACCACTCAAACCCGGTGTGGTAGTGTACACACCTGTAATCCTAGCACTTGGGAGGCTGAGGCAGGAAAATTGTAAATTTAAGCCAAGTGTGGACAATTTAGCAACTGACCCTGTCTCAAAATAATAAAATGAAAATGAGGCTGAGGATGTAGCTTTGTGGGAAGGGCTGGGGTGAGCCCCAGTGCTGCAGGGAAGGTTGACGGCTGCTAGCCATGTCATGGAGTAACGCAGCAGACACACGGGCTGCAGATGCCCCAGCCTGGCGGGACCCCTCGGCCAGGCCTGGCCACACCTCTCTCCAGCCCCTTGAAGGAGCAGCGAAACGAGGCGTCTGCAAAGATGCTGAGTGTCCTAGGCATCTGGTGTCCAAACAGAGACCTCGAGCTGGAGTCCCTCAGGTTGCCAGGACAACCCATCCTGCCTGAGGTAGACAAGCACTGTCACTCCCCATAGGGGTTGCCGAGAGTTGGCTCGACTGGGTGGATCTGAAGTCCCTTCCTGCCCGACTGCCTCTCCCCAGCCTGCTGCACCTCCATCTCAAGTGCCTGGGGACAGGAGAGGCAACGGGAGCCCTGTCCGAGCAGGCACACACCGCTGGGATGGGCTCGGTGGGACTGGCTACCCCATGCCAGCTGGTGGTGACCCTGGCGAGTGTCACCTAACCCTGAGTCCTGCGTGCTCACCAAAGCCAGGACGCAAGAACTGTCCCCTGTGGGCCTGGCATAACACAGGGCACTGACAGTGCGGGACACATGCTCAGTCCTCACAAGGTCAGCAGAGGGCAGGGACCTGCCAATAGGTGGCCCAGTCTTGGTCCTCAGCTCCACCTCCCAGCTCTGACCATCGGCTGTAGGGGGGCACAGGTGAGGGCTGGCAGGGGAGTGTGTCACTGCTGTCCGCTGTCTGTCCCCAGTGAGCAGCTGTGTCCCCTCACACCCACAACGCTGTGTCCAGCATGGCCGCTCTACAGCAGCCGGGAATACTTGGGGACACTGTGCAGCCTGTGCAGCCAGGGTCCCAGGTGATGAGGATGGGGAAGAAGACCTCACCCCATCTCCGGGCAGTGACACAGGTTCAAACTGTTCCACCCCAAGGCCACTGAAGGACAGTGCAGGGGTCCCTGTGCATTCAGCTATGACTCAGTCTCCTGGTTTCTGCTTTGATCACACGGAAAGACGTGGCCGGAGCAGAAGCCACCACCACAAGAGAAGAGGGGCAGGTGGGCTTGGAGGAGGGGGCAGGGAAGGCGGGGGCTCCTGTCACAGCCCCCACACTTGGCCTTTTGCATCAACAAGTTTAGAATAGATTTCGCATCAGAGGTAGCATACAAGTCCTAAGAGAATCTGGGCACAGCCAGACCCAAGACTCTCCCCATGAGTCAGCACCATTCAAGGACTGGGGGGAGAGAGAACAAGGCCACGCCAGGAAACAAGTCCAGTCTGGGAACCAGCGCCATGTGCAGGATGCCACCAAACTGTAACAGCTAGACCCGAGCCCCTTCCGGCCGTGACTTAGCACATAAGAAGTAACAACACCCCACCCCACCCGCAATGAGCAACCAGCTTATCCGGAGAAACACAGGCTGTGATGAGAGCTATGGAGTTCCGGGAAATGCAGTGGGATGCCTGCGGTGCTCTGGTGTTGGGTTCACTGACACTGCAGGTCTAGGGCCAGTGGTCTCATCATGGGCTCAGAGGACAGCAGTACACAGTGGGACATCGAGGGGAATCTCCTGAGGGTTGCAGCCACTGTTGACTCCCTGTGGTCTTGTTTTGAGGTCCTGTATCATTTCCACTGTTTTGCTGGGTTGGATTTTATTCTCTTTTTGTTTTGTTCGATTATGTTAAATCCAACAGCAGGAGCAGCCACTTCAAGGATGGCAAGATATATTAGGGTAGCAATTCTGGATTTACTATAGGCTTGTTTTGAAGTCCTTTATTGCATTAATTGTTTTGTTTTTATTCTTTCTATTCTATTCTGTTCTGTTTGGTTTTTACTATATCTGAATTTATCTGCAGCTATTTGGAAGACATTGAGAGGCATTATGGTAACTATTGTTGATTTCATAATGTTCTGAAGTCCTGTATCTCTTACACTGCTTTGTTTTGACTGTTTTTTTTTTTTTTCTGTTTTATCCTCTTTTTTAAAAAAAGTCCTAAGTGACACCGGCTCTGTTTTCCCAACCTGCCCACACAGCAAGACACTGAGAGCCACCCAGGACAGAGCAGGCCAACTGCAGGCCCTGTGCCCCTGCGCTGACCACAGAGGGCCTGGGCCCCTGTTCTCACCCCCTGCAGACCCCGCCCTGCTCTCTGTGGGGTCCAGGCCAGCTGGGATGAGCGGGGCTGGCCCAGGGTCTCCAGATGACTGGCGTGCAGTGTCACCTACATCCCAAGGACGGTTGGCCGGGAGTTGGAAACCACAGGCTCAAGGTCACCCTGGCATCTGTGACAGACATACACCCTGCGGGAGGAAGCAGGAGGCCCAGTTTCCGGCAGCACTAACATTTATTCCCACTGCTACCCTCGGCCTCCCAGAGCGGGTGTGGGCTGAGGGTCCGTTACCCCAGTGCCTGGCATCTAAAGGCTTCCAATTGCGGGGTTTCTTTCTTTTGGAACACTTACATGAACTTTACCAGTTGAGCACCCCGCACCTGAAAATTAAATTCCAAAATGCTCTAACACTCAAAACTTTCAGTCATGTGTTTAAGACTAAAATATGATGGACATTTAACATTAGTTATAAAGCCAACAAATTAGAGTTGGGCATGGTAGCGTAATCCTGTAATCCCAGCACTCAGGAGGCTGAGGCAGGAGGATCATTGCAAGTTGAGACCAGCCTGGACTACAAAGTGAGCTCAAGGTCAGACTGAACTGCATAGCAAGACCCTGTCTCAAAAAGACAAACAAATAAATAAAAGCAGGAAGTTAGGGTCAGCAAGATAAGGCAAACCGGAATGGGAGCAGAAGCAGTGACCAAGGAGGACTCACCGACCAAGGAGCGGACAGGATTGTTCTCGTCTTTGAGGCTTGAACACTGCCCCACGAGGTTAGCTTGCACCTCAGCGCCCAGAGCTGGGAAACCCCTCTCGGCCAGCGCCTTGTTCACCTCCACGCACGTCTGGAGGCCGACGGAGTGCAGTGCTTCCTGCAGGTTGAAAGTCCTGCAAGACAGCGCACGGGAGCCCGTGGGAAAGAGTCTTGTTCTCTGGTTGGCTTTGGTTTTGCTTCTAAATACACCAATTTATTTGGGTTATCGGCTGACATATCTCCTCTGCCAACAGTAATTACTTCTGTTAGAATAAATTTAGAAAATGGTAACTCTCCCCAAGCGCCAGGCGTCACATGGAACGGAATTTAACCTGCTCAAAGGCCTGGGCGGAAGAACTCAGGCCTTGAAGCAGACTGAGGTCTTCGAGCTCTGTGCCGTGGCGCTGTTGTAGCCAGCGAGGTTTAGCTGAGGCGAGGTTACCACTCACTGAAAATAACTGCAACCCACTGACACGCAGGTCGTCAGAAACGGACAGAAAGTGCCACTCTGCTCCCTGAAACCTGCTGGTCTGAGGTGCTCCATTCGGACATTTTTACTTTAATGCGCTTGGGAAATGAAGTAGAATCCACTTACTTTTGTCCCCGTGAGCAGTCAATCCATAGTGCCAGCCACACACAGCCGATGAGGCTGTTTAGAGGTCAAATGCCTGGAAGCGCCCTGATCAATGAATCCTGCTCATCGTTACTTTCAAGTAACTGATGAGTGATACCAAATACACAGGATCCAGAAACACTGGCAGCCAGGCCGATGTCATCCCAGGACTCGGAGGCTGAGGCAGGAGGATCCCTGGGAGTTGGAGGCCAGCCTGGGCTACAGAGTGAGCTCAAGTTCAACCCGAACTGCATAGTGAGACCCCGTCTCAATGAAACAAAACAAAAAAGGAACACTGAACAGGCCCAAGGCGGGGGGCGTTACTTAGTAGGTCCCTAAGGCACTGTCCCAGCCTCGATTTAAGGAACGGTTATGACAAATTGCACCTCACTATCTAGAGAGGCCTTTAGGACAGCTCTGCACAGTGGGAATCAGAGGAACAGCTGCAGAACAGCGTGAACGGGGACACACATGGGTGCGCGTTAGGCGGATCCCAGTGAGCTCTCAGCAAACGCTGAGCGTGCAGCCGGTGCCAGTGAGGACACAGAAATGGGGCTGCCCCTCCTGTCTCCCAGTGGCTGGGATTTACTCTCGTCTCCCTCCCCCTCGCCTGTCTTTGGGCTCCCATAGACCAAGGGGAGCCCATGGTCAACTCTGCCTCCTGGTTTTTAGCCCTTAGGAAAAAACGGCCAGGTTTGCTCCAGCTTTTAACCAGCCAGCGCCTGGGCTAAAGGAGAAATTAAATCTTAGCATGAGCCACGGCTTCCTGTTCCCGACCAAGGCAAAAGCTGCTCCTTTTCAAGGTGCGGTATCCGACTGACCAGGGAGCACAAGGGCTATGGGCTGCTTACTCACATCATGAGCAGCCCTATCGGTCCCGAGGGTAACAGACAGCTGTGCCCATTCCCTCAGAAAGCAGCAATAATTAAAGACCCAGGTGAACAGGCAGCTAAAACTAGGAAGAGAGGAGTTTAACAGCACTGCAGCAGGCAGGCCATGCTGGACGCCTGCCCTGATCCTCAAGATCCGTTCCCGAACTCACCACCCAAGGGGGGCTGATTACTACCAGGCCCTCTCCCAGGGGAGAAAGTGATGGGCCAGGGCTTTAGCTCAGTGGCATAGGAGCCTGCCAGGCAAGAGCGAGGTTGTGAGTTTCATCCCCGGTACCAAAAATCAATCAATCAAGCAGCTGGGCGGGGTGGCACACATGTGCCATCCCAGAACTTTCCAGGCTGAGGGAGGAGGATTGAAACACGTCCAAGGCCAACCTGAACTAGGCAGACTGGTCTCAAAAAAATTTAAGGAGCCGGGAATGGTGGCTGTAATCCTAGCACTTGGGAGGCTGAGGCAGGAGAGTCACTGCAAAGTCAAGGCCAGCCTGAGCTGCAGAAGGAAAGAGTGAAATCCTGCCTCAAAACTACAAAAAAAGAAAAAAAAAAAAAAAGAAAGAAACTTGTTCTGGCATGCATAACAGGAAATATCGGAGCTGAGATTTAAACCCTGGTCTGTCCGACTTGAAAATCTTCATAACCAGTTTCTTTGTGCTTTATGTTAATACTGAGGCAACACTGGTTATTCACTCAAGGATCCTAGGTCTAGCCGAGTGTAGTGGCTCATGCCTGTAATCCCAGCCCTCGGGAGGCTGAGGCAGGAGGATCATTGCGAGTGCGAGACCAGCCTGGGCTACACAGTGAGCTCAAGGCCAGCCTGAACTGCGTAGCGAGACCCTGTCTCGAAAAGACAAAAAACAGGATCCTAGGTCTGGAAAGCAATGCGCCCTCCATGTGAGGAGACGACGAGACCAGAGCAAGGGCTCCAGGAACGCGGAGGAGCTGAACGGGCAGGTCAGCATCAGCACAGCACCACGGAGAGCCGGGCCTGGAGAGAGGCAGGCAGGGCTCGGCTCTCACTGGGTCTTTCCAGCTGTGCAGCCCACGGCAAACGTTAGTCTTGCTCTAAACTTCAGCCCAAAATGAGACCTTGGGATTTTTGTTGGTTTGTTTTGTTTCAGACAGGGTCTCGCTATTTAGTTCAGGCTGGCCTTGAACTCAAGGCGGCTCTCCTGCCTCAGCCTCCCAATTGATTGCTGTGATTATAGGCATGTGTCACCATGCCTGGCTCCTGTTCTAAAATTTTATCAAATGACCTCTGTGCTCAATGAGACATGAATGGGAGGGCAGGTGCCTGTCCCTTCCCTGGGCGGCACAGAGGACACAGCCCTGCAACAGCTCAGAGGGGAACCAGCAGGAGCTGTTGGCCCACACAAGACCCAGAGGAACGCACGGCGGTGGACCAAGTCCGCACATTCTGGCCTGCACAGGATTTCAGTGAACAGCCTAAATACAGAAGCTAGGCGAGATCCTAGAGTGCAGGGGAGGGCGATGCCACAGCAACAGCAAAGCCTTCCCTAGACCTGTGTCCCATTTTTAAAGGACACAGCGGTCACCGCGCCTGAAGACTTCCCTGCCTGCAAACATGGCACTGCAGAAAAATGAGGCCCTCAGACAACTAAGCCTGGAAAGCCCTCTGGTATAGAGCGAGTCTTCTTTTATTTTTTACCTTTTATTTTTGTCTTTTGAGGCAGGGTCTCATTTTGCAGTTCAGGCTGGCTTTGAGCTCACTTTGTAGCCCAGGCTGGCCTCGAACTCACAGCAATTTTCCTGCCCCCGCCTCCTGAGTGCTGGGATTACAGGCATGAGCCACCATGCCTGGCTTGAGATAGCGCAATTCTAAATACTGGGCTGGGTGTGTTTCTGGGTTTTGTTTTTTCCACACTTCTGTCGAAGAAATTTTTTTAGACAGGCGGGCTATGAACTCACTATGTAGCCCAGGCTGGCCATGAACTCCTGGTGATCCTCCTGCCTCAGCCTCCTGAGTGCTAAGATTACAGGTGTGAGCCGCCAGGCCTAGCTGTCACAGTCCTTGCATCCACACCCATCACGGGTGGGAACTTTACACTCATCCTGGCGTTTGTGGCAAACACCTCCCCCTTTCTAAGCCTTCAGAGGTATTGAAAGATATTCCAGAAACAGGAGATGCAAGGAAAGACTCCTCCCGCTGGGTATCCAGCTGTCTGAGGTCCCTCCGGCTGGGTGGGGCGCATGGGTGGGTGAGACACGAACAAGCACACTTGCACACTTACTCCCGGTGCATGCCTTCAAGGAGAGCAGCGGTGACCCTGTGCAGCCTGCGCTCCAGCCCAGGCAGGCTCTCAGCCACAGCGCCCAGCGTACCGCTGGTGATAAGCGACAGGCAGGCCAGCGTCTTCAGCCGGCGCAGCTTCTCTGCCAGTTCCCGGAGTCGCGCTCCATCTGTCACCAGTGTCTGGCGCATTTATAAACACAGAAAGGGAAGCACGACAGCATGAAAACCTCAAAGAGCAGCCTCGCACCCAGGCACCCATGTTCGTGGGGCCCCAGGAGATCTCAGGCGGCACAGAGCTTAAGACAAACAGGCTCGGGCAGAGAGGGGGCTCACCTCGGGCAAGTCCCTCTTCGGGAAATCCCAGTCCAGCAGCCTCAGGTAGCTGCTATTCAGCACCAGCCGAGGGCTCAGGCTTGGCTTGGAGCTCTGTTCGGCCCCTGGAGTTGGAGAAAGCAGCTCCTCCTGCATGGACTCTCGGATCCACTCTGTCGTCTGGTCCAGTGCGTCTAAGGGTAAGAGGCCACACGTCGGTCCCAGAGCTGCCGGGCCCTGCATTTCCCATCCTCAAGCCAGAGGCCACACTGGTGCTGGGCTCCAGGGATGGACGGACCCAGCCACGCCCTGCCTGGGTGTGGAGCCAGTGACAATCCCGGACCCCAGGCCATCCCCTCACCCCGGAGGGGCCCTCGTGTCACCCTCAGTGGTCCTTCCCTCCCCATCCTGACGCCTGGCCACCACCAGCCACCTCAGTGACACCCCTGTAGGACATTCAGATCGACTCGAGCACTGTGTGACTGCGCTGCAGTTAAGCAAACCCCTGTGAAGCCCATCAGCAAGGTCCCCCTGCAGCTGAGGCGCTGCACTCAACACAGGAGCGGGGTGACTCCAACACCTCCCTCATCAGTGTGTCTGGAGAGGCACCCGCCGCCCCCTCCCTGCCGCAGCTCTGCACTGGGGGGACTAAGGCTGCCACACACTCACATGGGCGCAGCACCCGCCACCGCCCCGTCACGCGGAAACCTCCCCCAGACACGAGCAGTCCCGAAGCAGCTCCTTTAATTCCACCAACAGCTCTGCTTCCGCTTGGGTTGGTTTTGGTGCCCGACGCTCAGGAGGTCTAGGTGGACACAGCGGCCGGCCTGCTGGCCGTCTCATGGGAAGCTGCTGAGAAGGGGTGGGGTGGAACCTGGGGGTGCTTGTTATTTAAAGAACCCCTGGCACCAGTGTGAGGGAGGAGCATCCTGGCCCATCCCGTTCCATGGAAGCCGGATGTGTTAGAAGTGGTGTCACCTGAGACCTGAGGGCCTGGGCGGCCCAGCGAGGCCCAGCACCTAGCCAGGCTGTGCAGAGGGAGGACGGGAGTGACGGGTGGCGAGGGAGGGAGTCACCACACTGGGTCCTGAGGTGACAGTGTCCAGTTTTAGGGTGTTCGTTCACTGTGGGCAAGTCTGTTCATCAAGTTCAAGTCTTCTGCAGGGAAACAGGTGTCACAGAGGCCTCTAGTTCCCCTTTGTGGCGGGAGTGATGGTTACCAGGGATCAAGCTCAGAACCTCATGCTTGCTGGCAGGTGCTTGTGCCGCTGAGCTCAGTCCTCAGCCCCTGGGTTCCTTCTCAAGCATAAGGCACCTATGCATTCCCATACAGACTACTGTTACTGTTAACAACACAGCCGGCACAGCTGGGGCCGCAGGCCGCTGCTGGACCGATCCCTTCCACTCTCCTGAGGCCAAGCAACACCCCGGGGCTGGCCTGGGTCCTGAGGCCGAGGTAAGAGAAACGAACACCCGTGAGCCTGCCCTGGGAGGTCCCCAAATCCCAGGCCAGCAGCAGGTGGCCCGGAGGTCCTGCGAGCCCCGCTTTGGCACTTCCTCCTGTGTCCACCGAAGGTCTGTGCATGTCCACTGTGTGTCACAGGTCCATGACAGCAGCGTGAACTACAGAAGGGCACCTGTGACAGATGAGCTGACAGAACCTTACACTGTCACTAATTCAACTCTGCTGCTCCTTGCTTCCCATGCAGGCCACGTCCCAGTCTTTGTCCGTCACATGCAAGAACCCAGGAATCCACCCGGGACCCCAACACCTATGGTGACATTGTCAGGCACCTAACAGTTACCGCAGACAGAATCGTCTGAGCCTCAGCTGTCTCTGTTGACAGAAACCACACCCCACAGACCGCTCCTGAGGTGCCCCCTACGCGCTGCCCCCTCAGGTAGAGACCACCCCTGCAGCTAATGGAAAACGGGCAGGAAGGGAGGCACCCACCACCCACCCCAACCAGCTATAGAGACCCCTTCGAAGCCCACCAGAACCCAGGCCCGGCTCCACCAACTCCCTGGTGTCCTGAAGCCCAAATTCTCCCGGGGTGCGGAGACGCCTCTTTAGCCCTCGTGAATCGGATTCATTCCTACCCTGACTTTTGAGAGGGAGTCTCAGCCTTGGCAACCGTGATGCGTGTGGCTGGAGGATGTACGCTGTGGGGCTCTGAGCTGTGCGTTACAGCATGGTTAGCAGCACCCGTGGGCGCTAATGCCAGCAGCACGCCCTGTCCGGGTCCCCACCAGGCTGGGACAGCCAAGTGTCTCTGGATGGGGCTCAGTATCCACTGTGGGGAGGTCACCCCAGATGAGAACTGACTCCAACGACACGATTATTTTGGTGGCAAGTTCGGGCTCCGTGCTGGAGTTTAATGTCTCCTCCATCATGGTTCCAGCAGGCCTAGGTTCGGGGTTCGTCTGCTGGGAAAATTCACTCCATTTCCGCAGACGTAGTTCTGAGGTCCCACTCAGGTAACCCGGCGGGTTTGGTGGAACTGGCGAGGCAGGAACTGCTGGGAAATGCAGGCTGAACACAGATGCAGCTTTTTACAAAATGACAGAATTCTTCTGAAGACCCAGCGCTCCAGGGGACGCTTCATGAGGAGCTGTATGGGACGGTGAAGCCACATCACCCCGAATCTCACTACTGCTTCTCCCCTGGTTGTTCTTGGTCTGCGAGTTCTGTTTATGAAGATGCGGGAGACCGATGGCCTTTCCTTGAGGACGTCACGGCCGGCCATGAGGACGAGGGGGAGATAAGCAGCCACGCTGCAGGTCTGATCACCTGCAGCTGACTCCTGCAGGCCCTGTAGTCATCACAGGCAAAAGCATCTCGGGCAAGAAAGAGCAAGTGGCTCTCAGCTCTGATACACTTCAAAATCACCCCGGGAGCTTTGACAAAGAAAAGGCTCCCAGGCACAGGTCCCAGAGGTGCGGGTTTCCTAAGCTAACTAAGGTGTCCCCCGGGTGTCTGCACTTGGATGCCACCCGAGTGACTCAAAGGTCACTGAAAGCATGGGACACCTCAGCCTTCTCCTGTCAGCCTGCTGGGCCCCTAGGGCCACGTATGGGTGCACAGACCACTCCACGCCACTCTGGGCACAAGGCCAGCCCACAAGGCACTGCAACCCTCACTGCCTATGAGGACAGGCACCTCGTCAAGCACCTGGGCCTCACAGCAGGTAACATGAGGTGCAGCTGGGGATGCAAATGCAGGAACAGACCTCAGAGCCAGTATAGCTGCATCTCTGCACGCTGAGGTTCGCTGGGAAGATGCACCCCCAGGCACTGTGGCCAGCTGGGTCCTGTACCTACCAGAACGTCCAGGGACACTTTTGCCACCCCTGAGCTGCAGCCTGGCTCTCCCCCGACGCCTGCCCTGGCGCACGGCCTCCATCTCCCCTGGGACGCTGTGACCTGCCCCTATGTCATTTCCTGGGGCAGAGCCTAGAGCGGGACTCTGCGGCCTGCGGTGGAACCCCGCTTGCAGCTTGCACAGCACCAAGCTGAGAAACCCAGAGCAAGGAGCGAAAGCCACAGCTCTGGTCGGTTTGGGAGGCCGCCTTCCAGTCCTGGCAGCTCCTCGCGTCTGGGAGCGCCGCTGGCTCTGAGTGCACCCTTGCTTGGCACCAGCTCCTCCTGGTTAAAATGTTCCTGTCGCCCCACTGGGTGAGGTGATGCGTGCCTGTAATCCCAGCACTCAGGAGGCTGAGGCAGGAGGACTGCCTCAAGTTCAAGGCCAGTTTTGGGCTACATACTGAGCTCATGACCAGCCTGAATTATACAGTGAGATCCTGTCTCAAACAAACTATATATATATATATATATATATATACACATATATACATATATATATATATATACACATATATACATATATATATATACACATATATACATATATATATATATATCCTCAAACAAACTATATATATATATATATATATATAAATCTCCCCTTAGACAAAATAAAATACTTTCCCGTAATCAAGTCAGACATCCAGGAGCTTCTTTGTATTAATTTTCCAGAAAGTTATAAATGAACACGTGAAAGGGTGCACACGGAAGTCCAGCCATCCTTTCTGCTTCTGAGAGGTGCTGCGAGGCTCTTATTTTGATATTCGGGCCCAGGGCCCGCTTGGAGCAGAGCCAGGGGACAGGGTCCGGCTGCCCCAGGCCGGGCTTTCTGTGCTGCGGTTTCTCTCGCTGGCCCCAGGCCCTCTGCGCACAGTGGGGTCTGCCCTACTTTAAATCTTTAGGACCCGCTGCCAGGTCGGGGTGAGAGGTGCACATGGATTGTGGGTCACAGACCCCGGTTTCCAGGACGGAGAGGAACAAGATTATAACTACCATCCAGAACTGGGGAACTGGCCAAGCTGCAAGCTATCTTCTCCTCCTCCTCCTCCTCCTCCTCCTCCTCCTCCTCCTCCTCCTCCTCCTTTTCTTCCTCCTCCTTCTTTGAGACAGGGTCTCACTTGGTAGTGTGGACTGGCTTTAAACTCACTATGTAGCTCCAGTTTACCTCGAACTTGAAGTGATCCTCCTACCTCAGCCTCCCGGGGCTGGGATTACAGGCTTGCATCTCCGTGCCCAACTAAAGCTCTCTTATTTCTAGATACGGGCACATATGCACGCACATGTATATACACACATGCACACGCAGTGCAGAGCCTCAGGAAATCCTGTGTGGACACAGTTGCTGTGCTCGGGCTCTGGAGTCAGGTTCTGAGCAGGGCTCCGAGTCTCCTGGTCCCTCCTCCCAGCACTTGGCCTCTGAGTCCGAGTCACAGGAGGGTCCCGGAGGCATCAGGCTGCCCTCCCACCGCTGGCCAGCAGGCTCCTCAGCTGCAGGCCCTCTGCAGCCAGCCTGGCTCCAGAGGAGGCAGCAAGCACGGCATGCAGGGGCTCTGGGGCAGGGACAGGTCCGGGTGAGCCAGGCTCTACCTCCCCACGGCAGTCGCCCAGCACTCATCCCACATCCTCTTTGGGAATGGCGGCCACAGGGCCCAGCTTCCAGGCGGCCGTGAGGCCTGACGAGTGCATCCTTGCACTCCCACTCAGAATACAGCGCTGTCCCCAGTCATTCCCGCTGCGTCCCCAGCCAAGGCTAATCTCAGAGGCCAGGCCTCAGTCAGGCCTCCTGGTCCTCCCCACCCTCAAGCAGCTCAGGTCTGCTGCGTCCAGGTGACCCTGGGAGCTGTCCCGTGTGGACCACTGTGACAGGAGAGCCCAGCCATGGCAGTGGGGTGCTACCCAGGGTCACCACGAGCAGGTCACAGCCACCAACGAGCGAGCAATCCACCGCCTCTTCCCCAGTCCTCACTGGCTCCCTACAGTGTCAGTGCAGTGTCCCTACACATGCACTGTTCCCATCCTGGTATTCCCACACTGTGGCCGTGCTGCAGACACAAACGACCGAACCCCACCATGCCTCAGTTTCCCCGCCCATGCAATGGGGGAATGAATATCTACAGGTGTCACAGAGATTGAGTCGGTTAACGCAGGTGACAGGCTTAAAAGTGCTGGCAGCCATGAAACCCTGGCTTCGTACTCTGGAACACACTGGGGACCCCCATGTGTGTCTGTGATCCCTGTTAACCCCTGGATCGTGTGTCTCCAATTCCTAAATATCAGTGTCACATGAGACCTCAAATATCCAAAGCCGAACTCTTGATTCCACACAACCCCCCAACTTTCTCCCCCTCAATCCCCAGATGGCTAAAATGCATCACCCTCAATCCGCCACTCCCCCGCCAGAACTCATTACAGCATTTCACGACCACACTAGGCACCAGACCTCTCCAGCTCGACCGTCTGGAACAGCCAGCCCGTTTCTTGCCCAAGCAACGCCAACATCACCTAACTGCAGCCTGTGCTTTGCTCGTTGCCCTCACATGATCTGTTTGTCCCCTAGCAGGAGCCGGAGCGTTCCTCAAAGCCAGAAATCGTCAGGACTCCCCAGCGCCCCATTACGCATGGGATGAAAGCTGCTCCAGTGCTGCTTCCTGAGGAGGACTTTGCAGTGCGCCCCATCAAGAAACAGCTCAGCCCACGCCTCCCTATGGCTAACTGCCCCTAGCACGTGTGTGTGGCCTGTCACCCGCCAGCAGGGCAGCTCCCCGGGGACCACGGCTTCACTTCGTGCACTGCTGCACCCACGCCACCCTGCAGCACAGCAAGTGTGTGACACACAGCTCCTGAAAAAATACATACATCAGCAGCGCTCTACACCGCTCTCTGTGCAGATCAGGCAACCGTCAACTGGGGGCATGGATTCCAGAAGATAAAACCACGTGTCATGGGGAGGCCGAGACTCTTCAGTGATACCACATGTTACGGTTCGTGTCTAGGTGGCCCCAAGCCTCATGCAGTCACGGAGGCAGCTGAATCTAGTGCTTGTGATTGGTTCATTGTCCAGTGCTGGGATTGGTGGTGTGAGTACTGTACCCGCCCAGGGGCGGAGCCAGCCTACAGTGTAAGCAGGAAGAAGGCTGGTCTTTCCCTCTTTTGCCCTTTTGCCCTTGTCCCTTGAGGGCTTCCGTGAACAGCTGCCCTTCAGCCAGGCCACCCTGCCTTGGAGCCAGCACAGTATGGACTGAAACCTCCACAAACTGCAGGAAATAAACCTTTCCTTCCTTCATGTTGGGCACCAGGTATTTTGTCTCAGCAACAAGAGAAAAGTAACCGAGACACCACAGGAAATATGAAAAGGGACGGTGCGCTTTCACCCGCTTCCACATGCACAGTACTCACTGGGAGTCTCCTCTAAGATCTCCTGGAACTTGGTTCTCTCGTAGTCTACCAGCTGGCGCTGCAGGTGCGGTCGGAGGCTCTGAATTGTAAAGTTGGCCATATCCATGATCATGAGGTCCAGCACGTGGAATATCTGTCTACAATGTTTAGAATTAAAATAATTAGAGATGCAGAGAAAAAGCCAAGCTGAAAAATTCATCACCTGCTACCTATCTACGCATTACAGGGAGGGCAGACAAGCCATTCCCAAGATGCCCTGGGATGGTAGCTGCACTCAGCAAGGCTGTTCTCAGTATTCAGATGTCTCCTGTTTACCGTGGTGGACGTGGACACCCCTGCCCACCTGCTGGAGCCAGTCATACCGACAGGAAATCATGGAGGGGTGTCCCCAACCAATCTTAATGACGAGAGAAGAAAAGCCAGGTGATGGAAGGAATTTTTACTTGAAAGCCCCAGAAATTTTAAGGAGCCTGAACACAGTGGATCTGGGGTCTGTGCCCAAGATAACAGGAAAACATCACCTCACTACGCAGCCTAGGCCACTCTCAAACTCACAACGACCCACCTGCCTCAGCCTACCATTTCTCTCCAGATGAATCCAAAGACACAGCAGCACTCACCTCAGCACCTCCACGACGTCACCAGTGGCCTTCAGCTCCCGGATGTCATCATCCCGCACGGGCGCGCACAGCTTGCCCATCACGCCGATGACGTAGGCGGCTAGGCCTTGCACGTCCACGGCACCGTGCTCGGCCTGCTGCCTGATGAGGTCCACGTCCAGCACTTCGCAGATCTGGGTGCGGAGCCGGTTCCCCCCGGGGGTGAGGAAAGAGAGGAGAATCTGCAGAGGGAGGAAAGCAGAACGGGCAGCGCCGTCACAGGGGCCCGGGGTCCTGTCCCAGGCTCCTCCTGCCAGCATGCGGGACACCACTCCGGCTCTGTCCCCACCACGCTCCCAGGGTGCAGGGGGAACCCCACAGGCTAGCGCTTGTGCTCAGCACCACAGAACAGGCACGGGGTGGGGGGTGGGGTCACCCTCAGCAGGAGTTCGTGCCCTTGTGGAAGGGCCTGGGGGCAGCAGCAGGCCTTCTCAGCCTCGATTGATCTGCCCATCAGCACCTGCTGTTCACAAGCCCCGGCTCCCCAGGTGGGCAGCGGGGAGACCCAGACTCTGACGCCCACAGACAGCAACTTGCCTCTCTGATCTCCTCAAACAGCCTGACAGCGTGTTCATACTCGGGAGGCTCCGCCTTCAACTCGGACTCCAGGACGTCCCAGAAGGCCTGGTGCACGATGCTCTTCACACGCCGAGCCAGGCTGCAGCAGGAACCAGAGGATACTCAAACCAAGCCTCACCCTCCCCACGTGGGGAGGACACACACTCCCTGCAGAAATCTCAGCAAAGCACAGAACACAGAGCAGAGCCAGGAGAGGGGTGCTGTAACCCAGCACTCCGGGAGGCTGAAGCAGGAGGATTGCAAGAGCCAGCCTAGACCACACAGCAACTCACGGGGACCCAGTCTCAAAATAAATGTAAAAAGGGCGGAGGAGGCAGCTCGGAGGGCAGGTCCTGGGCTCAATCCCTAGTAACACAGAAGCCAACCTAGTGGCCAAACACCACACACACACTCACACACGCTCACACACACACACACACACACACACACACACTCACACACACACACTCACTCATGCGTTACTAAGCTTCTGACACATTTTCCTGCTCCTGGCACAGTTTTCAGCACAGCTCTGCCCTGGATTTCAGAGAGGAGAGAACGGAGGTGAGGTGCGCTTTCCTCAGTGCTGAAGTTCGGTGGCCGGAACAGAGCCGGGACTGGCAGCCGCTGAGCACCAGCCGGCCTTGATGATGATCTGCCCCTGAGAGTCGGGGGCAATCTCAGAAATGGAAATGATTATTGAGAACATTCCCAGGAAGACGTGCTCTACGGTTTGGACTTTTTTGTTTGCTTTTTCTGTTTGTTTCTGTTTTGTTTCGAAGCAGTTACTCCCGAGGTACCCCCGGCTGGCTCTGAACTCATGGTGACCCTCCTGCCTCAGCCTCCTGACTGCCCTGAAGACTGGCACAACTGTCACTTGGCTTCACTATGGATACTGCACAAGAACTTGCAGGAATAGGTGTGAACCCCTCAGCACACACATGCACGCGCGCACACACACACACACACACACACACACACAGTTTCTGGCCCCCAGACCCCGAAGGCCGGCAGGTTACCTGTGCTCCGGAAGGGCCTCCTGCTTCAACCGGAAGTTCTCATTGACAGCGATCTCATGGGCCAGGGCCATGTTGGAGAAGTTCCTGGCTGTGGCCATGACGTCATCAAAGGTCACGACCCTGGGTGGACTGGTCGCTGCGAGAGAGACCAGGGTCAGCCCAGCTGGGGTAGAGGGGAGACTTTGTCCGCGGCAGCTCCAGACAGGGGCCTGCCCAGCTCAGGGCTGCACTAAGCAGGCGGTCCCCTCTCTCTCCTGCTCAGGAGAGGCTGCAGAACGGTAACCCCCCGCCAGCCTCAGTCCACGCCTGACAGTAACCCCCAAACACTGAGAGGACCACCTCACTTTCGCCAACTGAATCCATTAGGGTTCAGGGCCTAGTGATCCTTGTGAGCCCCGATCCTGCAAACTGACCAAGGCCTTTTTTATTCTGTGATTCGGGATTCTCACTAAGTACACCCAATACACAGCAACTGATTTTAAGAAAGATGATTTCTAAATGTATGGGGTGAGGTAGAGAGGGAGGAAGGATTTCAGTTATTTCTAGAGATGATACCAAGAAATTATTCCCAAGAGTCGTGTTCACAGAACCACGAGTGGAAATCCTAGCTTCTGCTGGTCATAAATCACGACCTCAAACAGCAGCCGTGGTGGGGAACACTTTGCTACCTAAATGCTTCTAAGAAGAATTTGCTACCTAATTCTTCTAAGAAGGATGAGGAAGAGCAGAGAGGATGGAGAAGGGCCGAGGGAGAAGAGGAGGAGGAAGACAGGTGACAAAAGCCAGATGCCTTGGGCTGATTTAGCTAAGCGGCGTAAGCGCCTACCTGGCAAGCGCAAGATTGGGAGTTCGATCCCCGACACACACACAAAAAAGCAGACACCTTCCTCGGGACTCTTGGGTGCCTGCTGTCAGATGTGAGCCAGGACTCTAAGTACCGCTGACCTGCCCCAGGCCATTTGCCTACCTTCCCACTTGCTCTTACTGTAGGAGCAGTGCTTCAGGAACCTCTTGGTACCTGGGCACTTCGGTAATCCCCTTGCACATCACTGAAGAGTGGAGGTTCCTGGGAGGGTGGTGAGGCCTCCCCTCACTCTTAACAGTGTGGCTCACATTTGACAGCAGGGTACCCAGTGGGGACAGGGGAGGGGAGGGGAGGGGAGGAGGCAGGGACTGGAGGGGACTGGAGGGGAGGGGAGGGGAGAGGAGAGTCCTGCCTGCCTGCACTCTTCAGCTCTCCCCACAACCCCTGTCCTGCTGGAACCCTCCCTGGGTCCCTGCTGAGTGATTTCCACAGCAGGGTTTGAGATTAGCAAGAAATCCCGCGGATTACTTCACTTCCAGCACAGCAGTTTCCTGCAGTGTGCATCTGAAAGGAAAAGCCAGCAGAGAGCACTAATCTGCATCCATCCTGATTTGCCCGGAGGAAGGGCAGGGGCAGGGAAGCTGCTTCTGGAGATGGACACGTGGCCACACTGCTGCCTTCCGGCTCCCACCCAGCCTGGCTGACTCTGGCCACCCCCCCATCCCTCACGCGCTGCCCGGGACGTGCTGCCCGGGATCCGCCCCGGCCCTGTGCCCCTGGCAGGCTCACAGGCAGGCGAGCTGGACTTGCTGGAGGAGTCGCTGGCGAAGCTCCGCCGGGAACACTCGAAGTCGCTGAGCGAAGCCCGGCTCTCTGAGCAGAGTGGGGAGTCCAAGTCGCTGGGCTGGTCCTCAGCTGCGAGCTGCTTGTCACTGTGCAGAGGCATGGTGTGGTGCCAGGTGTGGGCGGAGGTGGGACCTGCGGGGACAAGGGGACCTGTGCCAACGTCACCTTCTCCAGTGTGGACAGCACGCCTGAGAGGGTAGCAGTGTTGGGAAGGCCCTGGGGTGAAGGTCACCCAGTCCTCCCCCCAGCACCCTGGACTGGCCAGAGGGAGCCATCAAGATGCCTTCAGTAAGCCGGGCAGGTGCTGAACGCTGGTCACCCCAGCACTGGGCAGGCTGAGGCAGGAACACCATAGCAAGTTCGAGATCAGCCTGGACTACAAAGTGAGCTCAAGGCCATCCTGACCTGCACAGTGAGGCCCTGTCTCAAAAAGACCAACCTGCCCCCACAAATGCCTCCAGTAGAGACGTCCCATGACCACACCACTGAGCAGACTCGGGCCGCACCCAGTGTGAACACAGCAGGCTGGAGCAACCATAGGTCCTCAGGAAAGCACACAGGAAGCACTGGCACCAGGCCTGGGCCGCTCAAGCCCACAAGGTGACAGAGCCAGCTGGGGACAGACCGCCTGCCACTGGCCAAGAGCACGCTTGTCACCTTGCTCGGCCAGGGAACTGGGTGCAAAGCCTGGCTGAGTGGCCCTAACCTCTCTGACAGCCTCGGCACCAGCTCTCAGATGGACGCTCTCATCCTGCTGTTCTGCCCTGTGTTACAGAAAAGGTTCAACATCTGCCTCGTGCGGTCCTGCTGGGGACGAATCTCTGGCCTGGAAAAGTCTGTGGCTTCTTCCTCTATGTGATTAGGGCGCCAGTCCTGGTGAGGTGTGGGACTGACCACAGCCTGACGCTTGGAGACCGGGGCCCTGACTCTCAGGCAGAGACTGAGGCAGTGTAAGGGCCCCATCGGCCACAGCCTCCACGTGGAGCCTGCTCTGGGGACCCGCTCTGATCACCTCCTGGGCCGGAGTCGGCCATGATGCAGCCCAGGAAGGTCAGGGGTGCAGAGAGCCCAGGCCAAGCCCAGCACAGAAGCCCAGGACACTGTGTGGGCCCTTAAGGAGGGTATCCCTGCTGTGGGTGGGAGGGAAACTGAGGCCCAGGGCCAAAGCACCCCAAGTCCTCAGTGGACAACGAGCAAAGGAGTTTGCCACGCCCCATTAACCCCAAAGGTGCCCACACAGCAGGAACACGGCGCTGGCCAGGCTGTCGCAGCAGTGCCTGCCAGAGCACTGCTGTCCCAACCCTGGAACCACCCGCAGCTGCCTTGGTGATTCTGCGAACTCACGAAGCCACCGTGTGCCAGGCTGGCAACAGCAAGCACAGAAACGGGGATGGGGACAGGGCAGGGACAGCACGGGCACTGATGCTGCCCGAGCCGGTGTCAGAGGACGAGGGAGGGACCCGAGGTGCTGCTCGGAAACACCACAGACAGGAGAGGCAGGCAGAGCCGTGGGCGGGGCCGGGCCTCCCCACAGTCACCTGGTCACTGCACCGGCCGCCCCAGGCTGGCACAGTGACACCAAGGCTCGGCCGTCCTGGAGCCCTGGCGTCAGCACCGGGAGCACAGGCGCTGAGATGGGGGTGACACAGCCCTCTGCCCCCGGGCCCCAGCTTCCCCAGCTGAGGGAGGGCTGGGGACCAAAGAGATGGGGCCACAGCAGTGACCTCTCACTGCCCCCTGAGCCTGCAATCTCTGTCCTTGTCAACACTGCGCCTCCCACCGAGGCAGTTTTGTTTTTCCTTCGTTTTTGTTTTTGAGACAGGGTCTGCCCATGTAGTTCAGTCGGCCTTGGACTTGTAGAGATCCTCCTGTCTCAGCCTCTTGGATGCTGGGAGTACAGATTTCCACAACACCCAGTGGGATGGTGATTGGAAATACTGCCTCCTCCAGGAAGCTCCCCGTGCCCCAGCACGCTCACAGCACGCTCCTGCGCACGGCCTGCACGTTGGCTGCTCCTCCTCGTCAGCGCTTCCAGTCTCCTCGCTCAGGCAGGCGTGGCAAGTGTTTTACAGGCACACACCCAGTGTCAGCGGAGCCCAGTGTTGGTCACCACCAGGTGCGGCTCCCAAGAGAACATGCGTAAACTGACACCACTGCAGCTTCACACGCCTGCTCCGGCCACAGGCCCAGCCCTGGGGCCCCAAACCACTACCTAAGCCTGGGAATTTAGAGTGCAAACTCAAAATACCCGAGTCCTTGTCCTTGTAATTTGAAGAGGGTGGTGGTTGTCTTTTCTCTTTTTTGAGATAGCATCTTAGCAAGCAGCTGAGCTTGAACTCACTGTGTAGCCCAGGCTGACCTCAGACTCACAGCAACCCTCCTGCCTCAGCCTCCTGAATGCTAGGATTGGAGGTATGCACCTCCACACCTGGTCCATTGGAATGTCTTAGTACATTCTCTTGGCTTGACACCATCACCGATACACACAGGACAGAGGACACAAAGAGGCTGTCCCGTGCCGCCTGATGACACAGTTCCACGTGACATACGAGTTAAGACCCCGCTGTGCACACGCTAAGGGTTATTTTCACAGTGTTTTCAGTCATTCCCTTGTAACGCAGCAACTGCACTGACTGCCCTGCTGCCCACACGTGCAGGTCTCTGATTGTTTTTCCAAGGAAATTGAACACAAGCGTTTTCATCTGCAGGCTCTTGGGTAATCGCACGTTCCCTTGCAGTCCCACCGCCCCAGCTTGACGACACACTGAGCAGCTGTGCTGGACACGGTGGCCAAGGCAAAGATTAGGGACCAAAAGCTCCAGGTTAGGAGCTGGAGTCCAGGGCTTGGGGCTTGGTCAGCCGCTAGCTGGCTGTGCGACTGACAGCCCCTTTGAGCTGGAGCCGCAGCTCTGCAAGTTCCTGGGGCAGCGGCCGGGCCAGGACTCAGTGGGAAGCTCTGGGCTTCCCAGCCACAGCGCCTTCCCTCTGACGGGAGAGGCCGCCAATGCCAGGTGGCCTGTGAGGGTCCAGCCTCTGAAACCTCGACGGGAAACCGCCCAGCCAGGAGGGCCTGACTCCCCGGGCCAGGGCCTCGGAGACTTCACTCAGACGACAGAGACCCAGAGAGCGCGCTGGGGCAGCGTCAGCCACAGAAACGGCAGCATGGATGTTTCTGTATTATCCGTTTACCAGGGACACTCCGGAGGGGAGATCAGTTTCCTCCCGGGACAATGCCAGCGTGTTCCCCTGCAGATAAATGGGGCTGGGGCTTAACGTAGGGTGGAACTGGCGCCCTTGTGTGAAATAAAAATCTGAAACACACAGTGAGCAGCCCATTGGCATGCAAGGGCCTCCCCAAGTGCCCGAACCCCGTCTGCTCTTCCCTGACTTGGCTTTGGGTTCACAGGTGGTCACTGTGTTCCAGATTCCTCTTAGGCTGGTGAGAATCAAATCTCAGGCTGTTTTGTTTAAAGAATCCTACTATTTCTCCAACGCACAGAATCAGACCTGCCTGACCGCCAGTACAACTCACAGAGAAACCACACGCCCTGAGGGATCCTCCCGCCTCGTCCTTCCAGCAAGAGCAGAGCTGGCAAAAGCAAGGACAAAGCCAACGGCTGCAGACGACTCCCAGGTGTTACCGGGGCCTCGGTCAAAGGAAACGAAGTCTGCACATTTGCTCTTTCATTGCATTGTTCCACTATTCAATAGCAACAACGCTGCTGTGCCGTCCCTTCTGACGCCAACGATCAGAGGGACGGAAACACACACCAGCCATCCACGCGCTGGGGAATGGACGCGGTTTGACGACTGACACTTTAGAGAGATGGGCATCGATTCCCGGCCCAGTCCTGCATCTGCCACAGATGGCCAGGAGCTTGGTTTTGCCTTCGCGTGTGGCCCCTAGGCTTCGACTAGCTTCTCAATTCCCTTTCTTCAGCGCTGTCTACAGGTGGCCCAGGCCTGACGGGATTGCGACTATACACACAGACCAGCTCTCGGGTGCACCGGCTCCTGGCTGTTGTGGCTTGGCATAACTGATGCCATCTTGAGCCCTGCATTTCACTACTGCCCTGTATTTGACTCAGGAGAATAGACAATTACTCAGGGCTCAAGTCCCATGAAGAAAGCAGAATGAGCTGCACCCACAAGGGAAAAATTAACCTGCTCAACAAAAGAAGCAGGATACAGGTGTCAGCTGAAAATTAATGAAAGATTCGAGCTAAACTGCTTCCAACAGGATGTCTTTTGTGATTCTCTCTTTTAAAAACTCTGTAACTTTCCAGTTTGGGCCACTTGTTTGGACCCTGAACCCGGGGGCTCAGTTAATAAATTCCAAATTTATCAGTTTGGCTGCTTAGATTCCTATATTGTTGCTTACAAACCCATCTCACTGGCCACGGCTCCTGGTGCTGACCTAGGAGGCAGGAAATGCCCCCTGTGACATGGCCAACCATAGGATCCACTGTGCACATGAAGGGAAGCAGTCTCAGCAGGGGTGGCACAGCCATGGCTCTGTTTGCCATCACCACAGTCCTCAAAGGTTCAGCAGCGCAGATGTGGCACAGCTTAAGCTCCCAGCGCATGCCTGCCCCATGTCAGCCGCCATTTCGCTCTCATTCAAAGAAGCTACATGGGCGAGGTGATGTTCGAACACAATCCCAGCACTTGGGGAACTGAGGCAGGAGTTTGAGGCCAGCCTGAGCTATACAGCAAGACCCTGTCTCAAAAACAAAACAAAATAAAGAAGTATAAATACCAAAATATCAATGTCATAAAAAAACAGAACAAGGGCTGAGGATGTATTCCTGATAAAAATCCAATGCCTGCCACCACCTGATTTTTATTTTATTTTATTTTTTTGTCTCTTTGAGGCATGGTCTCCCTATGCAGTTCACGTTGGCCCTGAGCTCACTGTGTAGCCTGGCTGGCCTTGAACACACAGCAATCCCCCTGCCTCAGCCTCCTGAGTGTTGGGATTACAGGCATGCACCGCTATACCCAGCTCCTCTGATGCTTTTGATGCATCCCCTGAAAGCAGTTTTGTAAACTTAACCCCAGTGTAATGGCCTTGGGCGGCCTGCAGGGAGGTGTCTGGCGAAGGCTGGCGGTCCCCTTTGTGCTCTTGTGCC